ATGTCCAACCTACGGCGATCGTGTAGTGTAGGGCCCCTGTTTTGTTTTGATCAAATTAGAGTCGAAAATGTTTTTCATTGCTCAAAAATCACCTTCAAAATCAAAAGCAGACTTTTCTCAATTCTAATGACACCTGTTTTGCAATTTTGAACAGTTTCTTTGGGTAGAAATCATGATTTTCCTCCGCGATTTGTGCCTTGCGATATAGCGCGCAGTGCGCGCTCACGGTACATCGCACGGTGATCGCCATCTTTATTTTCGGGTTGCGTGTTGTCGCCGAGCTTTCGTCGTCATTTTACCCCCAAATTTCCCTCAAAAAATCAAAACTCTGCCCTCGATCTATGACATACCTGTTGGAGTAATTGCAGAATACCCCGCCACTCGGAAATACACCCCTAAAATCACTGGCTACAAGGTTGGAATCACTGCAAAAGAAACAATTCAAGTCCATTGCCAGCTACGCGGATACTGAGTGGGGGTCCATTATTTGAGAACGAAGCAACACAAAATGAATGGGAGTTGCTGAAAAAAATTCTAAGTCCAAACCGTTGGCGGCTACGAGGCTCCCCTTGAATATGCTTGAGAACGAACCAACACAAAATGAATGGGAGTTGCTGAAAAAATTCTAAGTCCAAACCAACTACCCTGTTGGCGGCTACGAGGTGGGAGTCCCCTTGAATATGCTTGAGAACGAAGCAACACAAAATGAATGGGAGTTGCTGAAAAAATTCTAAGTCCAAACCAACTACCCTGTTGGCGGCTACGCGGTCACGAAGTGGGAGTGCAATGGAGCATGACGCATAGTACATCAAGTAGCGCTGAGAATGTTTATTGAGGTCAATCAGCCGTGACCTCGTAGCCGGCTACGAGGTGGATAGATCGAGTGGCGGGGTATTCTGCAATTGTGCTACCTGTTTATTGAGAATGTCGCCAACTAGTTTGGTCGGACTGATAATTTTAAAGTGGATTTTGTTCCCTTAAAGGAACCGGGCCCTACACTAAACGATCGCCCAACTTAGCGCGCCGTGCGTGCTCATGGTATATGTTGTGCACTTTCTTGCAATTTGCGCAATCTTAAGAATGAGCGCGCATTCTTAAAAACAAGCACGCATTCTTAAGAATGAGCACGCAATCTGAAGAATGAGCGCTCATTCTTAAGATTGCATGGGAATATTACTTGCGCAATATATGAATTTTGCGCAATCTTATCAAACACTACACGTGACGGCATTACTATGTTAAATTAAACGTATTAGCTGTTATTATTGCTTTTTTTTATTATTTCCCCCAATACGCATAATACTTTCATCTCTACTTTACATTGTTATGTCTTTTCCCTAGTGAATTTGCATTGTCATAGTATAATTATTTAAGTACAGCCCAAGAATTAATCAGTGAACGAGGATGCAGCTAGACTCGTCAAGCACAGCCGGTTCTCGGCATTGAAAAGATCGCTTCTCTTGTTGCGCATTCTTAAGAATGTGCGCTCAATCTGGAAGATTTTTTATTTCTTCGAAGATTACGCAAGGATCCAGTTGTGCAATCATAAGAATGTGCATGCACATTCTTATGATTGTGCAAATGACAAGAAATCGCACATTTAAATCGCGCAGTGTTTTGCCATAATATTTTCGGGTTGCGTCTTGTCGCTGCGCTGTCATTGTCATTTTACCCCCAAATTTCCCTCCAAAAAACATACCTATTTATTGGTAGGTCTAATAATTTTTAAGTGGATTTTGTTCCCTTATAGGAACCGGGCCCTACACTACACGATCGCCCAACCTACAGGTGATGTTTCCTAAGTACTGATATTATAGTCGTGTTCCCTAACGTGGCGCACTTCGAAGCTTACCCGACTTTCTTTGTGTAGTGTTGCCAAACCTCTTGAACTTGAACTTTACTTTATTTTATCTCATAATTTGCGTGAGGTAATAAGCAGATAATAAATACAATTAATGGAGATGTGGAATCCATAAGAAAGCTTAGCTTGTGGGTATGGACCCCGATAATTAGCATGATTACATACACAGACAAATGGATTATAAACACAACAAACATGAACGAAACAAGACAATGGGGATGGAAGGCAAACCGGAATAAATGAAAATAAATTACAATAACATGTAGGTAAAAATGATGATAGAACAAAATCATTAACACAATCAAGAAGAACACCTCTGATCAGTAACTAAATGTTAATAGTGAAAAAGACTCAAAGTTGAACTAAACAAAAGAAAATTGATTTCATTATCAAGTGAAAAGAAAGAGTACGTACATGTCGATAATTTCATTAGAATGAAATGATCACAAATTTATTGGAGCATATACATTAAAATATGACAAGATAAATAACGAATATAGCGCATGAATTTGAGGTTTGTCTTTGTTGACAAACCTCAAAATAGTCAAATTCATGCAGTAAAATACTAGTACTTTTACCTTATTAATGCTTGCCATTTAACCTCTGTGAACGATTTTGGTTTCATAAAATTTTATCCGAAATTCAAAAACGGTGGCGTCCGGAAATTGGGCACAAATTGGCGGAGTGTTCCCTAACGTGGCGCACTTGAATAAATCTCTGAAAATTCCAAATTATCATTTGAGAATTTCTGTAAACTTGATAAATTCTGATAAATAATTATTATCTCTACTTACATACCCAGCCAGATGTTTGTCAGAAAATTATTTTTTTATTTTTCGGGGCATTTTCAAAGACAAAGGGTTCACTTTGCACTTGAAAATAAAATCGGGAATCAAGCCAAAATAAAGTTTTCTTTTAACTTTGTAACGGGTAAATAAGCTCGCGATTAAAGAACAGGAGTGTTAAGAACTTGATGTTAAAAGTTTTGCTCTAGGTAGGCGCTACAAGCGAAAAATCAAAGTGCGCCACGTTGGGGGCCGCGCCACGTTAGGGTTCATCAACAATATAACAATAATAAATCGCAGTGGCTATTGTTACGGCAGCCGTAACGCATTTCCCATTTTCTATCGTTACGGTAGACTGCAACCAGGCAACTTTTATAAAAAAAACATGACAAGAAAATATACAATTAGAAGGAAAAAAGTGAATTTGAACTTTATGAAATTCGGACTTTATTTCCCTTTTAAAAAAAATCCTCCAAAGCCTCAGGTTAGAAAAGGAAAAAAATTCGAGTGCAAAACTGAAATTCGAACCCGCAACCTCGCGGTGCAAAATCCTACCCTCTATCGGCTGAGCTGGCGCACTGCTCGATAAAACGTGGGGAAACAAATAATTATATACCTGCGTGCGTATCAAAAAAAAATCGTAGAGGGCGCTAAACAACGAGTGCCGTAACGATAGCCACTTCGATAATAAATATTATTAACATGCATGGAAATGATGATGATTATGGATGATGGATGATTTGCCAACAATTACAAATAGTACAATATCATCTTCACCTTGCTGGCCGTCAATTTCGGCTTGCAGAAGTCGACTCTTTTTCACCCAGGCCCTGCACACCCTGCCGTGTTAGAATTATTCAAGGATTTACTGTGACTGTTGTTAGTGTTACTTCTTTTTTTAGCAAAAATAACAGACGATTTGCCCAACACAATTTGATCTTCAATTCCCACGATCAATAGTCGATAGAGGGCGTCATAACGAGCTGATGGATCAAAAAACATTGTAACAAAATTAACCAGAATTCCTACCGTTCCTCCATGCTGCAACTCGACAAATTGTCAAAAAGTACTTTCCAGTGTTCAGCGCAGCGTACGTTGGCGCTACTACTGCCAGTGCTTTTGCGATTTCATTGGTTGCTACATACAATGGTTGTCCAATGCACCAATGAAATACCCTGTTAATTAATCAGGCACCCACCATGCAGACCCACCTCGCCTGTCCCTCATTGGTCAACTGAACAAACGACTCACGTGTGATTGGATGAAAGTTTTTTTTTTTTAAATGAACAGGTGTATTTTGGAGGTGGCGGTGTTGGCGACGGACTGATGAGCTGTGGCTATGTTCGGGATCCCGTGGTATGCATGGTTTTAAAAAAATGATTAAAAATATTTTTGACTGGAGAAATTTGAGGACATCGACAGCTGAAGTACAGTGCAAGACGCCATTATTGCATTAAATGACATGTTCAATTTTCTTCCCGCACTCCTTTAGAGAAATTATTTCCGTTTTTATTTTGGGTCATTTAGTACTTTAATTTTGTTAAGATGTTAACAGCCATCTCCCAATTTTCACCTTTATTTGAAGGAAATGTAGAACAAAAAGTAGTAGAATCTCATCCAGAAAGTTCCGAGAAGGCGGGAATTCAGGTGGAAACCCAGTGTGGATTATTCCTGACATTTCCTTACTCGTACAGATTAAAACGTTTCTATTTGTTTCCTGTCAAGTGTTGGTTGATCTTCAATGAAGTGAGATTCTCAGTAGCATTTTTAAAAACTTATGTCGGGGGTTGGCTATGGGGGCTTTTTTTCCCAGAGGCACATATTTAGAATCCCGCCCTCTCCTGGTTGTCCGAAGTCAGTTTGACAGCAAAACATGTAGTTTAGAGTTAAAGCAATGTATGTATGTTCTAAAACTTTCAATAATCGTCAAATGTTTCCCTATTTACTTTTCTTCAAATAGATATATCGCGTCTTGGAAATAAAGTCTTCACAATTTGGTCAGAGTTTCATGGCATCTCATCTACTAAAAGCTCTCCGAGCCCCGACAAAGGTTCATACACAGTTCAGTATCAATATGCACCCAACAGTGGCATCAGCCCCGCCCCCTCCCCCTTACCTAAATTGTCTCCATGGCCATTTTTCACAAGAGAGCCCTTCCACGTCCCCCCCTTCACTGTTACCTCTCTAGATCTGTCCTGGCCTTGCCAATACTGGTTCTCCCCTTAGTACCTTTTAAAGCATCCGTCAGAACCCCCCCCCCCCCTCCCCCTCAAAAAAATTAACATTGCAACAATTGTGTTCTTTTTAGTAGATTCTGATCAAAATAAAAATAATTGTAAGACAGTACCACTTTATTTTTTTCATTATAGGGAAGCTTTATTGTGACTATATAAAAAAGACAAAGAAAAACAAGAAGCAGCAGCAAAAAAAATCCAGAAATTGAATGGACAATAAGAAGGTGAACGTTCTCGTAAAACTAGAGACAAACTAGTTTGTTGAAATGGTATGGTCTGTCGGGAAAAAGCCTGCTATATGCATTTGCGATCATAAACCCAGGGGATTTTGTTCAATGTAACATGCTAAATGACATAGGAAATAGACACGATTATAATCTTGCGTTTTAATTGATGTTAAATTGGTAGTGTCTTGATATTTTTGGGGACTACTAAATTTTGAAAAGAGACTTCCATGCTGCCTCAACAGACGAATACACAACTAGGCAAAAACACACACATACACAAAAAAAGGAGACGTACACACACAGTCTACAAACTATTTTAGGGACTATCCCTCAGCAGTCGGAGACTTAGCTACATCTGCAAGCCTGTCTGCACGGGATTAATTCTAGCACCAGTTTTTCTTCTTTTTTTCAGACAAAAAATTCAGCAGAGCACAGGAAGTTCGCACAACACAAGCGCTGTCGCCCGACCTGAAATTTTCCTTCACAACAATCGAATACCTTCAAAAAAAGTTCCTTTTTTTTCAATTAAAAATACAAAGAAAAGCACCATTGATTTAAAACCTGTCCTTTATCAAAAAATTTTTAAAGCGTTTTTTTTTCTTCGAAAAAAGTGCGACTCCATGACAGCAGTGAGAAGTTACTAAAATCCTACTGGCGTTAAGGTTTTTTTTTTAGTTAATAAAGACTTCCCTATGTGTTTATGCTGTGATTAAAACTCTACACTGCTATGGGGTCGACACTGGGTGGTTTTTTATCTATCTATGAGAAGCAGACTGGGCCGACTTCCACCCCGAATTGTTGCTTGGCTCTGCCGACGTCTGACACAGCAAAGTCCACCAGGGGTAGACGCTCGGTCTTCTTGGTGCTGTAAGAGACGGTGGTCTTGCCCACGGTGTCATCGTGTACCTGGTGTGGGAAAAAACACCAAAAGGCAAATGTAAGCTCACAATTCACAGAATGATGCAGCACAGGTCCGTAAGCCTTTTCGCTTTTTCAACTGCCTTTTCGCTTTTCGCGTGCGCTTATCAGATTCAACGATTCCGATTCGGAAGATAAACAAAGCAGATGAATGCACACAAGTCCTTAACCAAATCCTTATTTTGCAGTTTTTTTCATATGGATTCCTTTTGGGGAACTAACCCACTGGGCCGGTTTTTATGTGCAACCTGTATGAGAGAACACGGCGAAAAAATCATTAAAAAACGGGCCTTTTTCACATCTGTCGCCACCACTTCATTATTCGACAGAGTATACCTTACTACAGTATGACCTTAATAATATACTCTTTCAGAAAATGAAAGAACAACTGAATTAAACACTGATTTTACTCGCGAAAATGATGTTAAACACTGCATTTTTAGTCCAAAATCTCCCTGTTTTGTGTGTAAACCACGCTTTCAGCCAAGAACTTGTCCATTAACATCATCACAATGTTAAATAGCGCCACCTGGAAGCTAAGTTCTCTCGAGTCATTCTTCTTAGTCTCGTCAGCTTTCCAACAATATAACCCTTATTGTGATTGGTTGAGGTTTAGGCTTGCGTGTATTCATTTGCAAAAGAATTGTTCATCTAAACTCCAATAAAATTTGCCTTTGCTCATGGCTCAGCGCATAGGATCTGTTTATTGTACACGTGCTAGGCAGTGCTAGTGTATATACACAGAGCCCGGGAGCTGTTATCTCTATGTCCAAGGATCATCTGGCTGTGCGCTTTTGGCCGGTTTACATGGGGTCCTTTTGACCACAAAGGATTTGATATGATGTAATAGAAAGAAGATGGAAGCTTCTGTTCGTGCAAAAGATGGGGCATTCACAACATCTTTAACCATCTTAAGCCGTATAAAATATCTAAATTTTGCATTTACTTCAAAACAAGAACTCTTCTTTGATTTCGTTGATACCCGCTATGATTTTGCACGCGTGTCACGAACTGTTTATCTCTCGAAATTAAATAATTGAATCTGATGTGTGCATGTGCACTGAAATTGCGAAAGGCTTATGGTCAACTAACGGACTGACTGACCGACTGACTGAGTGCAAATAATGTCCTAGAATGGGTCAAGCGTAACTAGGCTTATTGGTAATTATTTGTAGCAAATGGAGGACTCAAATCTCACAGGAGTTTTTATCATCGATTAAAGGAAGCTCTGTAAAAAATCCGAAAAACGAATATCTGCTTCCATTTTCTCTCTCTATAATTCCATCAATTGTAACTATTTATGTATTCGTGACAGAGAAAAGGGAGACTTGTATCTTACCCGACAGCCATCTTCTCCGTCCACCTTATACTGCAAGTCTGCCTGGGTGTTCTTGATGCTGATGCGTACGTCGTTGGGTCCCACTAGGGTCAGAGCCTTCTGGGTGCCACCCATGTGGTTCTCGACGGCGTGAGAGTTCTTGCAGTTGTAGGTCAGGTTCTGCTTGGCTTCAGAGTAGATCAGTCGCAGGAGGGTCAGCTGCACAGGCTTGACGCTGTAGCTGATCTGAAAGGATTACAAAGAAGAAGACAAACAACGTTTAGAATTGTATTCATTTTCAAATTTGGTTACTAGATACACATGTTGATGGAGTATCTTAAAACTTGCCATGCCGTATTTGTTTTGAAGAACATATTGTGGTCTTGGAGCGCAATAGGCCATGCGTCAATTAGTAAAAGGATATATTCAATTTCTGCAGGAATGTTTGATACTACAGTTAAGTTAATGAAAGAGTTAAATCCTAGTTAGTGCCACAGAAAAAAACCTCGGTTGGCGAAGGAAGGAACAGAATTTGGGAATGAACACGTTCAACTTACCATTGAGCCGTTCTTCATATCAGAGAAGTCAATTGGTTCCTCGGTCTCGCCAAGGTAATAGGTGCCACGAGGAATCTGGAGAGAAAGAAAACAAACAAAGACCAATTTTAAAATAAACAAACAAACTGTTTGGAGAATTCAAGTGCTCCATTTGATTAATCTATTTAGTTTTATGAATATGTTGCCCTTCACCAACGTATTTATAAACACTGTATACTCATTGTCGCCCAAGGGCTTGCGAGAAAAAAATTCACAACATTACTTTGCTGGGACTCGAACCCAGGACCGCCTGCTTACTAGTGCAGACGTCTTACCACTCGACCACGGAGCTTGCCAGGGTTGGGTGGCCGGTTTAAGTCTGATTTAAGTTCCATCTTCTATAAACTATTTGATTTACTCATCCATTTTGAGTTTTATTTTGAATACTCTTAAAAATGACATATTTTTTGTGTGTGTAAGGAATCTCACCTTTGGGTAATCTGGGTAGATGCAGGTAGCGTTGGTCTTCTTGTCGCAGTAGGCAACAAATTTGTCGTAGTGGGAGCCCTCGCTCGGATCCAGAGTGTAATAACCTATAAACGCAAGAATGCAATCAGTTTGAATACACTTGTGATGCGAGTTTTTAACCTCGGTCACAGTACAGCAGTGTGGTTGGGGTACACACTCATGGAGCCGCTAACCACATAATTCTACTAAGGGCAGAAGATATTCTGCTGAGCAAAACAGCTCACCAACCAAATTGTTATGTCATGTATATTGCTAATGACTGGTACTCTTTGTCCATGTTAGCTGAGCTCATTTCTGTCGAAACTTTGCTAAGATCAGTGAAAGTGACCCTCGTACCGAGCAAAGTAGTGTGCTAGGTCCTTCAAATCGGAAAAGGTTTACGCTACTAAAATTGAACTGATGATAGAAAGAGTACTCACCACTTGGGAGTATCGGGTGGCACTTGAAGAGATCCTTACAGGAGCGGGCTGGGTACTCTGGCTCACCGTTGGGCAGCAGCAGCCTCTCAATGCGATTTCTCAGCTGAATGATGCGGGCCTCGTAGTCATCCTCGGCAATTGTAGCATCGTCGCCGTACTGGTCAGACAAGAATGTTCACATTTCAATCAGTGTTCTGCTCTTCGATACTCTCGAAAAACACAATATTAAAAACACTTTCACAAGTTTTTGAGTGGAAATTTGGAATACATTATGCAACTTACGTAATTAGAGTAGGGGTTGGGTCCCTTGTCCTGGCTAACGCCATATGAGCCACCAGAGTAGGCGTACTGTGTGGGAAAATATAACAACAATTTTGGTTAAAGATATTGATTTTAAGTTACTTCCCATAATTTGAAGTTTAATATATTACCAAAATGATAGTGACATCCCCAATTATTTTAAAATGACGTAGAATGAAAATTGAACTCCACAGAAAAGTCACATTCGGTCAGCTTCTGTTTGACCAATGTAAAAACTCTAAGTAAATGTCACAATTTCCTATTTGAAATCTGAAATTACAGTTTGCACAAGGCTGAATCGATCCCAAATTCTCTAAAACATGAAAAACATATATGTTACATATTGTAAACTTACTTACGAAAGATAAATTGATATTTGACTGAAATACTTACTCCTGAGTAGCTGAGAGCTCCCTGGAAGAAAAAACAAACAAACAAACAAACAACGTAAGAAAGAGGAAAATGAAAATGAACACGAACTTGTTTTCCTTGTTGACCAAAGTTTGAATAATAATTTGTGTAAACATGGCAACAAATTTTGATCATTTAGCGCGAACCAAATGAAACAGGCCAAACATAGTGAAGTTGATACTCAGAAAATATCACTTTGTATGTTTTCTTAAATTTTTTAATTTTAGGGTTTTTTTTGGGGGGGGGGAGGGCAAAAGCCGTTTATATATTTGACAAAATTATGCGATAAGTTGCTTTAAAAGAGTGCCACTACAACTCTTTGTCTATGATGAGCCAATGTATATCAGCTGTAACAATGTAGCAAATTCCGTAGTTGCAGAGCAGTTAAAATGAGTTGACGATGGAATCCTTCTCTATCTGGCTAAGTATTACAGGAAACCGACTATATTTATTTATGATTTGGCCACATTAAAAAAATAATAAAAAACAACTTCAAAGATTACAGTCAAGCGACTTCCAGTAAACTGAGCTGATTGGGAAATCATTTGATATTTTTCTTGTTTAAAATAAATACAAATAATGTGAATGGACTTACAGGTGCTCCAGCTCTTCCTGGGGGTCCTGGGGGTCCAGCTGGCCCACTCCTACCACCTGGACCACGTTGGCCCTAAAGAACAAGAACCAATAAATAACCAAAGACACTTTTCAAGAACCCGATACCAATAGATGGTAAGATTAGGGGTGCACTTAGCAAATCACAGATTCAGTCAGAAAAGTGCCTTGTTGTGCTGTTGGTGGTGTTTTTTTTTTTTAACATTCTAAACTATTGCACAGTGTTTTCACATTATTTTAAAGTGTTTTTGGACAACCCATTTCAAAATCCTCGATAAAATGCTATGGTGCTCCACTTCACCCCGACTGTAATATTGTCGTTTTCTTCATGTAGAAGTTGGCAGTTTTGATAATTGTTTATATGTGATGCGATTAAGCTAAATGAGTTGTTTGTCAGGAATTTTCATGTGGAGATTCAGGCCAAAATAGAGTCACTTCATGACATCTCTCGGTGTTCAGACTTCCGTAATTTTTGAACTAAAGATGGTATCAGCATGCGGATTTCACAGCAGTAATGCTGAGATTGTACTCTTTAAAATCTGTTAAAGAAAAAAATGACCTTTGGCTTGATTGCATTACAGTTATGAACTAAAACAGGTGCACAATTCACTAAACTAATTTAGACATTCCGTTTTAAAATCCTCAAGACACTGTCACTTTTCCTCCAATATGCTAATTTGTTTTGTTGGAATCTAAAAGATTAATGCTGCCAGACGTTGCGAACTTTAACAAGTTCTTCTTCAGAGGCTGTTTTGTTGGGCCTTTGACACAGAAGGAGAAGGAATGTGTTAGTGACTTACTCCTGGTCCAGTCATTCCGCGGGGTCCTTGTTGCCCGTTATTTCCATTTCGGCCACGAGCACCGTCAATACCCTATTCGAAAAAACCCAAAACACAGGATTTTTTAAATAAGATATATCAAATCAAATTCGGCAACAAACATTCAAATGAAATATTTGAATTTTGGGGAGAGATTTTTTTTTTGGGGGGGGGTGAATACTCACAGCAGGTCCTGCGGGTCCGGGGCGTCCATTCGGACCACGTCCTCCTGTTGCGCCCTGCAGAAAAAAAAGGAGAAGTTTTTGAGAAAACGGATTGTTAATTAATTTATTAACAAGTGTCAAGTGTGGTTAAAACCTTTCAAGACCTTTTGTGACCAAAAATGGCTAAGGCTAACAAAATTAAGATATTTTAACCATTGCTCGTGTGAACAAGGACAGAAACGGTTCGTTCATGTCAACTACATTTCATATTGATGTTGATTGTTAAAGTACTGCTTTACACTGTTATGTATAAGGTTTTCACAGGGACAACGTACTAAATCAAAAGAATAAATAAATCAATAATTAATATTCTCCCCATGAAAACCTGATACATACTCTTTGATTTATTTGCATTCAGCATATTTCTGCCGTGGAAAAGAGTCACCGAAAATCGCATGTTAAAATCCACTTCCATTTTAAAAATTGGAAAACAAAGTAAAAAGAACAATTATACAAAGTCTGTCTTATCCACCTTACCTTAGGTCCTTGAGCTCCTGGGGCTCCAGGAGAGCCACCCCATCCCTTGTGGCCCTGTCAAGACAGAAAAACAGAAGAAACCAAAGAAATAATTAGTTGTCTTAGCTCTAGATTGTCATGCAAATGAAATCGATACAATGTTGAAACACCTAAGTTTTGGTTAATTGAAACATTGGTTGTACGCTTTGAGACAAATTCTTTTTTTCTTTCTTTTTTTCAAACGTGAGTTCTCTTCATCGCTTGTTGTTGACTCTAGTAGCAGCTAAGAAGAATGTGATAGCTCTGCTGTTAATAGAGTCGATGAAACATAATCCCAGTTTGCTGAGGAGTGAAAAAATAATAGGAAGTACAAAACGAGGATGGAAGGATTTGAAACAATGCCTTACCTGGATTCCAGTCGCGCCAGTCTCTCCACGTGCTCCAGCAGGTCCAGCGGGGCCCTGTCAACAAACAAAAAACAATAAATAAACAACAACAACACTCCTTAATAGGTAGAATGTTAAGCAACCACAAAACCAATGGTGACCATTCCTTGGGGAAAAAAAAATTTGACAATTTGATTTGGTCGATGAAAATCTGACTTACAGCAGGTCCCATGTTTCCGTCGGCTCCTGGGCCACCTCTTGGTCCGGCAGGTCCAGCAGCTCCACGACTGCCACGCTCACCTGGACCACCCATTGGGCCTTGACGACCCTGACAAACAAAAAAATTACAAGACACAGGTTTTGGACTTGCTCAATCAAAGCTTTAAATCACATGTTAATAGCAATATGAATTAATAAACATGTATTAGAAATTTTGGATGCTTAAAAACGTGCTTGTCCAGGGGCCAATTTCATAAAGCTGCTTAAGCACAAAATTTACTTAAGCACAAAAACGTTCTGCTTAATAGAATCAGGTTACCGGCCAAAACTCCATGCTATTGTTATGCTAAGTAAACAACTGCTAAATACCAGTCACAAGCAATGTACATCGCATGGAGTTTTGGCCGGTAACCTTATTTTACTAAGCAATGTTTTTTCGTGCTTAAGCAAATTTTGTGCTTAGGCAGCTCTATGAAATTGGGCCCAGCTTAAACATACTTGTTTAGTACTTTGTTTAATACCCACCAAGCACATATTTATTCCTATTCCTAAAAATACCTTTCCGTCACAACGTCAAAACAAGTCATAAATTGAAAATTGCCAACGATTTTGTTCAACAATTTGCTTCCTGTTTTGTGAAAATACCCCTATAGCTTTGTATATGGTATGTCTGGAGATTGGCGCGCAAGTGGCACGTACTGCACGATGTGTCTCAGAACGCAGCAATGCCAGTGTAGGGTGAATTTAGGACTCTTTTGAAATACGGACTCACTGGTGGTATAGCACACGCCTCAGTGAAGATAATTAGAAGAGCGACTGGTTAAACGTGTTTGGTTCAACCAATAAAACGGTAAAAGGGACCAGATTTCATAGGAGTCAAAATTTCATGTGACATCAGAAAGTAAGTGTAAAAATCGACCACTTAAAACCAACCACGTGACGGGCTCTCGACCAATAGGAACGGGTTAACTATCTTAGGTATATTTATGAATAACTGTTAAGAATATTCAAGATGGCCCAATCAATGATGTAATCCGTCGTATCTATTCTCATTGTCAAATACCACTGTCTCATTGCAAATCTGAATTATGTTTGATCACTTCTATTGTAAATTTACAGTCAAATACCAAATACCTACACAATAGAATTTCATGAATCAAAGCTGAGTTAAGGTGCCTTAATATCTGCCCTAAAAAAAATATTTCATAAAATGATATACATATATCATGTGACAGTTAGGGCCTCGATGGTGATTTTAGATAATTTCATTTCTATTTATGGATTATTTAGTGCACTTCTTCACAAAATCTGCACTCAATTTTTAACATTAACTAGTTTCATACTGGGAGGTATGGAGAATATGGAAGACAGCTGCTCAAAGCAGATATAATGCTAGGGGGTGAAGCAAGAATGTTTTTAGTTTCTTTTAATCAAATCCTTTTTTTCTTAAAAAATTGGAGTAAATCTTACAGGCACTCCAGCGGTTCCAGCAGGTCCTTGCGGTCCTTGAGGTCCCTTGTCACCTTGAGATCCAGTGGCTCCCTTGGCACCAGTGGCTCCATCAGAACCATCTCTTCCCTGTGAGGAGAATCATAATTTGCTGAGAGAATGCCATGACAATTGTGAAACATACGCATTGGTATTTGAAGCTGGAAGTAACTCATTTGTTGATTTTCGATATCACGAGTTGAAGGAATATTGAATTTTTGCCTTTCTTCACAAGAAATGTTTAGAGCCCTTTTCCAACAGCTCGTTTCAGCTTTTGAGCCGAAAAGAAGACCCATGACGACAAAACTTGGAACTTTTGTTTCCGTCAAAATGACACGGATGCTTAGACTCACATTAGATCCGGTTGGTCCGCGTGGTCCCTTTACACCCCGGGCTCCCTGACGTCCTACCGACCCGTCCTCGCCAGGAGATCCACGTCTACCTGGGGATCCGTCGGCACCCTGTGGCAAAGGAAGGATTTCAGTCATTCCGGTAAAAGATAGAGGGTTGAGATTTGAGATTGTGAAATAGAGTTAAGGTGTAGCTCCAGAGGCTTTTCCTGCAGTAGCAATGCAAGAGTTTATAGTATTTACTAATTGTTCTGCAAAGTCAGCAATTCATCTTCAGATTTAAGACTGACCAACAAAAATGATGCTTTTACCCGATCTGGCTATTTTTCCGTTTCTTGTGTTCTATACTTGCGGCATTAAACTCGGCAGCTGCTACAAGCACATGCGAACTGGCACTACATCGCGTTTACTTCAGCAGCGTTACTCTTATCCCGAGTCCACATGAAGAACTTTCCTGAAAAGGGTTAGAGTGTTTGAGCTCTATTCCTTGCAGAAATGAGAAATATTTGAATACTTACTGGACGGCCAGCTGGGCCAGTGGGTCCAGGGGCTCCCATGGATCCCATGCCACCCTGGCAGAAAGAAAAGACAATGAAGAATCAAACTTACTGGACTTGTTGAACGTTTAGAGGAGAGGGAAAAAAATCAAATTGAACACCATGGTACCACTAGTGCGGTGGCGTAGTTACCAAAACCTAACAGCTAGAGCATGGCATTTGTGTTCTTGGGCAGGACGCTTTACTGCAACTTCTACCATTCCTTAAAGGGAATATACATCATTTGCTTTTGCTGTAATTTTCAGAAATCGATGGAATTGGGGGGTTGGAAATATATAGCAAATATAGTTACACTGACTTTTTTGAGGTTTTGGGTTCGAAAATGCTATAAAAACCAAGAAAAACAATCATTTTCCTGTAGTCTGGTTCCCTGACTCCATTTAAGAAGAAACAGAGCAGTTTACATATATTGGGGAATTGTAAGGTCAGGGAACCAGTCTAGCTGGCTTGTACCCGTTCATAGGTGTGTAATCGATTGCAAACAAGTGCGATGGTCAACTGGGGCCAGTATTTGAAAAAAAAAGCCAGTTTTTTCTAACGCTGATCGGCTGATCAGCGTTGGAAATTGATACAAAAATACCACTTTTCTTGAAAATGACAGTATACCAGGTGCCATGGTTTTACAGGATGCTTTACACTGTCATTCAGTAAAAGTCCAGCAAGGTATTTCAAAATGATTTGGTAGTTTTATTTTTTGATGTTTGCAAATGTTGTATTTTCCCTTTAACAGTCAAGGCCCCTAGGTGGTTGAAATGAGAGCAAAACCCAACAGTGCTTCAAAAAGAAAACAATATCCAACATTAATTTGGACTGATTTTGGTATTGAGTTTTGCAAGATCTAGATAACAGAGAAAAATGTGAGCGGCAGTCTCGTGGTGACGTTTCGGAGGCCTATTTTGACTATTTTGCAAGCAATAATTGAAATAGACGGATCTTGGGTTTTTTAAAATTGACATTTAGGAAATCTCCGTATACTTACAAGCTCTCCGATAATTCCAGACGGGCCAGCAGGTCCGGCGGGGCCAGCAGGTCCCTGGCAGCAAAAAAGGAAGGCAGAAAAATGTGGACCAATATCAAGCAAAACTCAAAAAGAATTCAGACAAAAAAAAAAAACCCCTAAACATGAATCCACACTTCTGACTGTTATCAGGAATCCATTCAATTCTAACAACGAAAAAGAGGGAAATCTTAACACGTACAAATGTTACACAATGTAATCAATTTGAATTCGCACTTGTAAGGTCAATCATGAAATATCTGACAAAACCACAACTTTTAGAGCCACTTAGAGGTGATACAGTGCATAATTAATTGCAGATAAGTGATATATCCAAATGCAGTACGATATTTATAAAAATATTAACACATTCCTGACAAAATCTGTCTTATAAGACTACTCACAGTATCTCCGGTCCTGCCATCTTCGCCACGTGAGCCAGAAGGTCCTGGGGGTCCTGGGATACCACGGACACCTGCTGCCCCAGCAGCACCAGTGTCACCGCGTCGGCCCTGCAACGATGAGCAAGAAACATTGCAAAACTTGTCACAAGCTATTGTCCAGGTCTTCGATCTTTACAACAATTTGGGAATGGCTGACAGTAGATTTAGCAATAGCTCAGGATAATAATAATATTAATAGTGGGTATTTATAAAGCGCACGTATCCACTAGGTACTGGTGCTCAAGGCGCTACGTCATTATTACCCCGGCTCATTGGGCCCATGAAACATTCCAAATACAATCTCAGCTCCCTGGGGTGTATACAGCTCGATGCTGCCTGTTAGGCGCAAGAAAGTCAATTCATTTACTCCTGGGTTGAGAGAAGCAATGAGTGACAAAGTGCCTTGCCTAAGTGCACACGCACCACGACCTCAGGCCGGACTCGAACCCACAACCTGCAGCTTCACCCACAGACCACGATGCTAATGTCAGACGCGGAAAGATCTCAACTTGATAGTCTGTGTTGAACCGCTCCACTGGTACTTGTTAGCGAAGTCCAGGTAAATATAATACGGAGCTCAGAAATTGACTTGGGTAGAATTTGAAGTTGAACCCATGCTTCTGGAATGCTGCATTGGGGCTCTACCAACGAAGCTACCCAGCCCGTTCAGGTTAGCGGCCTCCAAGACTGTATGTGCCACGTGGCCAGGGATAGTCCACATAGTCACGGATGTTGCCAGCAACTTTTCCCGAAACACCGCAAGCCTTGCATTTCGCAATTCGGGTCTGCTCTCTTGTAAACTGTTGGATGCGCACAAACCATTTCTGTTGTTTTTCTATCCAATGCTTGATAAACCGTTCATTTTTTAAGGGGATTTCAAAAAATAAATCAATCAATAATGCTACATACCATAGCTCCAAGCCTGCCACTTGAACCAGCTGGTCCGACCTCTCCTCTTGCTCCCTATTCAAAAACAAAAGGATGACCAAAAAAAATCTTTTTTAAACGAAAAACTCTTTGACGAAAGGAACCTTTGTTCTAGTGATCACATATGTTTTAAGATTGACTTCTTTTATACTCATTTTTGAAAAATCATGCCGAAACAATGGGTAGGATCCTCTGAGTGCAAGCTTTGTGTTGGTTGTGCGTTCAGGGGCCAATTTCATAGAGCTGCTTAAGCACAAAATTTGCTTAAGCACAAAAACGTCTTGCTTAATAAAATCAGGTTACCGGTCAAAACTCCATGCGATTGTTATGCTAAGTAAACAACAGCTAAATACCAGTCAAAAGAAATGTACATCACATGGAGTTTTGGCAGGTAACCTAATTTTACTAGGCAATGTTTTTTCATGCTTAAGCAAATTATCTGCCTAAGCAGCTCTATGAAATTGGGCCCAGCTCAGTTGAGGACAAAAATACAGTTAGCAGGATTCTTCCCTTAAGCCCGGTTCATACTCCACGCGAATGCGAAGCGAATTTGACGTCATGAAACATTCGCTGCGAAATTCGCCCAAGTTGAAATATGTTCAACTTTTACGAATTCGCAGCGCGAATACTCGCCGTAACGTCACAAATTCGCATTCGCTTTCGCTTTTGCGCCGAGTATGAACCGGGCTTTACAGGGATTCTTCCCTTACAGTCGGCAGAGCTACAAATAGGGCCCCGATTATGATGGACAGACTTACAGGTGCACCGGATGGTCCAGGTAATCCAGCGGATCCAGAAGATCCTCCAGGTCCCTGGATGCGGTGGGGAAAAAAACAAACAAAAAACAGAGAAGACCGTAAAAACTGACTTTCACGACAAGTAGTTAAACTAAAACACCTGGTTTGTGAAGCAGTGCGTGATTACTTTTTCCCCAGCTGTCGGCTGATTCAACTACCTCCCGAGGCGAAATTGGACACCGAGGAAGACAAAATCAGCCAACAGGTGCAGGATAGCTACTCTTTACTTCTAGAATAAGTTGGAAAATCAACTAGTCACCAATGCGAAGCTGAGGGTGCTATTTGTACAAAACCCAGGGACTATACCACAACTGGGAGTACAAAACCCATGGACTATACCACTACAGGGAGTTAAAAACCCATGGACTATACCACTACAGGAAGTACAAAACCCATGGACTATACCACAATAGGGAGTACAAAACCCCATGGACTTATACCACAACAGGGAGTACAAAACCCATGGACTATACCACTACAGGAAGTACAATACCCATGGATTATTCCACTACAGGGAGTACAAAACCCATGGACTATACCACAATAGGGAGTACAAAACCCCATGGACTATACCACTACAGGGAGTACAAAACCAACCGACTATACCACAACAGAGGTATTTTTGTATACCATGGTTTTCTTAGTTTTTATTCCTTTTTTCAAGTCTTTTAAGCAGTGGCAAATATAATAGTAGGAAGTTGACTCTCAGTCAATACTCACGATTGCTCCTTGCTCACCGGCATCTCCGCGATTTCCCTGGGCTCCTGTTGCTCCCTGAACATTCACACACACAAAAACAGGGTTAGCAATTTTTTTCAAAGTTAAGGCTGACGTAAATCATTTTTTTTTTTACTGAGAAACCTATGCCTAGGTCAACTTTGTTGATGCCATGTCTTCAGGATGCTTCTAGATTGAATATTTGCATTTTGACTTGCAGTTGGTCCAGAACGCCCTGGTGCACCAACTCCTCCTGGGGGTCCCTGATCACCAACGGTTCCCCTCCCCCACCACCCCTCACACCCCTCCCCTAACCCTTTCTCAATCCAATCTACTGATGTGACTTACATTTGGTCCAGTACGCCCTTGTGAACCGACTCCTCCCTGGACTCCTGGATCACCAACACCTCCCCTAGGTCCCTTCTCTCCACGTGCTCCTACTGGTCCTTGCGGTCCCTGAAACAAAACAAAAAACAAAAAAAGGTAACACGACTTTAGGATATCATCAAGATTTGAACAAATCAAAATTGGTATTAAACAAGGTTTGAGAAACTTATAAAGAATATCCAATAAAAGATAACATTTCCCAGAAACTGAAATTTAATGAAAACAGAATGAGTTTGTACCGCTCCGCCTGGGATTCCTTGGGCTCCACGCTCTCCTTGTCTACCTCTCTCACCCTGTAAGGAGGAAAAATCATTACAATACGTTAAAAATTATTGTTTTAACAATTACTGAACGCTAAAGTCAACACAACTCCCCAGATATTCTCTACGAAGTTTTCAAAAACCACCAAACAATGAAAGAATAAGCCAGAATTATTGAACACATTGTTCAATACCTCAGTCAAGATGCCATCCTTCAAAAGTCAACACGGTCAGTAATAGGTTACATATGGCATTTCGTCTCAATCGTTTCAGAAAAGCGGGACCGATTTTGAAGTCTTTTGGATGATTGCAGGATTTATTACTGAAGTTCGAACTGTCTACTCAAAGATTATCTTTCAAAAATTAAGTAACAAAGCAACCAGACTTGGAGTTTGTCTGTGCCTTTGTTGGTTAGGTCTTATTTTAGGGAACGTCTCAAAAGTCTGAATTTCCCGTTCCGAATGGAAGGTTCCTTTTAGGCACAACATGTGTTCCCGATTGGAACACGCCATGTCCTCGGCGTTACCTGGTGGAACATTCCAAGCATTCCGACGTTTGAGACGTTCCCTCATCTCATACATTTTCAATGATTCAAAATAGATATTACAACTTCTGTAGCATAATAGATATTACAAAGTTTTAGGAACTTACAGGGTTTCCTTTGGTTCCTTGGGGTCCGGTTGGTCCAGAGCGGCCAACATCTCCCTGCAAATAAACCAAAAAAAAGTTCAAGATTCTTAAACTATCTGATTCATTTATTCTGAAGTAACGTACAAGTGTAAATATTATTGTTCCCATTAAAGCCAACTCAAATTTGTTTTCCATATTTTTTTTATGCAAAAGATCACGTACCAAAGTACAAATCCTCACGACTACTTAAGCCTGTTATATCGCAAAGAAGATCTGTTTCTATCTTTTTTCGTTATTGATTCATATCAACAACTTTCAATTATGATTGCCAACTTCATAACACAAGATTGGGCTTGAGAAGTATGATAGTTTAAACATGAGCAACCTGACAACTATAAAGGAATTTGCAATACATTTTGAACTCCTTCTTTTGGTCTGAATAGGAAATCCTGAAAAGGGAAAAAAAAATTTTTTGAAAATACTGGACTTACACTTTCTCCTCTTAGACCTGGGGATCCAGGCTGGCCTGGGGGTCCGGGGTTTCCCTACGGAAATAGAAACACAATAGGAACATTTTATATTTTAACCATATTTTGAAAAAAAAGATAGCTTCCACGTTTTTTTATTCAAAGTATTGGAATTTTGAAAAACAAATTAATCTCGGAGGGAAAACAAGCTTTTATATTCCCCTGTGATCGAGAACTTTGCAGATAACTGAAAACCAATTTTACAACTTGAGAGTTTTCGAATGCAGTTCTGTGTCCTAAAAGAATTGTACTCTTTTTTGTACTGACTTTTGGGGCAGTTTTTTTTTCTTCTTTAAAGTTGCGTTTGCTGTAATTTCCAGAAATGGATGGATTTGGGGGTTAGTATTTTATAGCAATTATTGATACACCGACCTCTTTAAAGTTTTGCGTTCAAAGATGCTGGAGAGAACCAAGAAAAAAAAAATACCTTCTTGTAGTCTGGTTTCCTGATCCTACTTCAGACGAAATGGCGCACTTTATAGAGGTCGGGGAATTGTCAGGTCAGGGAACAAAACTAGCTGGCTTGCACCCGTTCACGGATGTGTAACCGATTGCAAACAAAATGTGGACCAACTACGTTTGGTAAATTGGGGGCAGTATTTGAAAAAAAAAAAACACCGTTTTTGTCCAACGATGGTTTTCTGACCATCATTGGAAATTGTTACTCTTCTTCATGTACCTTTAAGTTTGGATTTCTGTTTTACTTACTCTTGGTCCTGGCTTTCCAGATACTCCACGCTTACCGCTGGCTCCCCTGGCACCCTACAAGAAAATTTTAAAACAACAATAACTCTTCAAGTCCATAATGTTTACGCGATCCTAGTGATCCTAAATCAGGCAACTCCAACAAGAGAGTGAACCCAAAACAAAACACAAAATGGGAAAAAAATAATGCCAAAATTGGATCCAAAGTTACACGTCACTTACAGGTGCTCCAACGTTTCCAACACCGCCGACACCACCACGGTCACCAGGGGCACCCTGTTAGACAAAAACACAATCAGTTTACTGGCGTTGGAGAAAAGTTTTACTAAAAAACTATCAAATCTTGTTCGTGGTAGGGAGATTTGTCACCTATTTAGTCACTAATTGCGACTCCGATGGACTTCTCAAGAAACTCACCAAGTCGCGTTCCTTTAAAACTGATTTAAATTTCGTCGATTTTACACACCACAGAGGGAGGATCATTTTTTTCTCATTTCATATAACTGGTGAAAGGTTCCCCCTAAAATCTTCCTAGTAGTGGACCACTGACAGAATGTTAAAAGGCAATGAGAGAAGTTGGCTTGCTCTGACTTACGGGAAGGCCAGGGATTCCGAGTCGTCCAACATCACCACCGGCTCCCTTGTCACCCTGAAATGGTAAAGAAACACAACAATCTGAAATTTTCTCCAATTTCAACATTTTCTTAATGTAAACGTGTTCTAGTGCTGTCAATTCAATACCACAATTTGGTGTAAATTGGGACAATAAATAAAAAATACACAGAGGAAAAAATGAATATATTCAATATAATGTAAGTGATATTTTTTTGGGGGGGGGGGGTTAGAGAAAGTGTAGTTATATCTTACCCCTTCTCCATCGCGTCCGTCGCGTCCGTCGGCTCCAGTGTCACCATCTGGACCTGAAGGTCCAGCCAAACCCATCGGGCCCCTCTCTCCTCTGTTACCCTGAAAATTGGGCACAGGAACCAAGCAATCTCTTAGCACATTCCCTCTTGAATACATCCAGCAAGGCATAAAAAGAAGGATGACTTTAATCCAACTCTAATTTCTATACTTAACATCTCATTGTCTCATCACTGGATACACTGATAGTTCAGTCACTTCAAGAAATCAAACAGTTGAGAGCAATTTTGTTGCAAAAGTTTCTGGAGAGGCCATCTCATCAAAGTATGCCAACAGAAAATACTATGATCCTTAAAATCAAACCGTTGAGAGCAATTTTGTTGCAAAAGTTTCTGGAGAGTCCATCTCATCAAAGTATGCCAACGGAAAATACTACGATCCTTGAGAGAAATTTGCCATGTCAAACCAACAATCCAAAGAAACTTGAAACGGACAAGTGAGGTTCCGAAACCAACTCTGTACAGTAGAACATGAGCAGGAGACTAAATAATATAAGGTATAGAGGTATGAAATTTGAAAACAAAACTAAGGACGTTTTGGGCTTACAGCCATTCCCGTTGGTCCTCCTTGTCCTGGGGGTCCGGCAACACCAGGAGCTCCTCGCTTACCCTGGGCTCCACGCGCTCCGGTTGCTCCCACGCCACCCTGGGATTTATCACAAATATACGAAGTGCTTTATTAAACCAATGCATGAATAGGAAAAGAAAATCAGAGGTAAGCAAGCTATGCATCCACCTCGGTACACTAAAAACAAAAGGGGGAACAAGTGTTGCCTTTTTCTGGAGTCGATCCCTATATGTTTTGTCTTCTTTAAAAAAAGTCAAATTTTGTGCATTATTAAACGACCTCCAATGACAATTTTGTGCATTTTTAAACAAACTCCAATGTACAGAAGCTTACAGATGCAGACCCCTAGATGACCTTTGACCTCCAATTTCAGAAGCCTTGTGGTGAACCCCCATCCGAGGATCACTCCAAGTTACATTCAAATCCAATAAATTCTGTACACAAAGAAACATTTGAAGCATATGTGCACAATGACCTCGAATGACTTCTATGTGACCTTTGACCTCAGTAATCCGATGAGGAATTGTGCCTTCCCATCCAAGGGTCACTGCATCAAAGTTTCACAGAATTTGGGACTGGTTAAGCGTCTCCCAAAAGTTCGCTTAGGCAACACAAAAACTTGGCAAACTGATTCACCAGCATTCATCAGTGGTTACAAGTCATTAAAGCCTACATACTGAAAACCTTTGCCTTTTATAACTTGTAATAACTGAAATGGTAAGAGAGCTTTAAGACGCCATGGAGAGGGAGCGACTTACATTAGGTCCTCCGGGTCCGCCAGCTCCTTGGGGTCCAGTGTCTCCACGTGCACCTTGAGCTCCTTGAGGTCCAGCGGGGCCCTCAGGTCCCATGTCTCCAGCGATACCCTGAAAATCCAAACATGGACAACAAACGGAATAAGAAATCCATCCAAGTTGTTTGTGTAAATCCATTAATGACAGTTAGCAGAGATACTTTATCTTTGGCCAAAGATCAGTATAAACATCCACTTTTAGGATTTCAACCACTGCTTCTGAGGTAGGACACTCTATGAAATTTTACCAATTATAAATAAGGAATAAAGTACAGGAATGTCAATACTGTAGTAAGAACAACACAAATTTAAGCAAATTCCCTGTTAGCTCAACTACAGTCATGTTCAACCATCAATCTCGTTATCTTGCAATTCGGTAATCAAGCTTGTTTATTTTAAATGAAAATTAAGACAACTTACAGATGGTCCTCTTTGTCCGAGGGGTCCAGCAGGTCCTGTCCTGCCTTCCTCTCCCTGTCCCATTCGGGCGAAAAAAAACAGTAAAATTGTGTCCGTGAGCTCACCATGACTCAAAAATTCCACTTATGATTTTGAGTCACAATGAAACTATGTAAATAATCTGTGGTTTATAATTTTTTTTGGGGGGGGGGGAAGTCAAAATTATGTCTGTGAGCTTTATGTCCGAAATTCCACAAACGTGTCCATTCTATGCAGGAAAAAGTTGTGAATTTCCTACAATCGAGTCCTTTTACAGCAGTTTATGCAACACTGCCACAGTAGCTTCTCTAACGCTATACATTTTTTCTTCGCTGGACATTTCTTACGTTGAGAGAACAGTATATCACAGAATTTTCTGGCCAGTGGATGTCACAGCCATTCTTGACTAAGGGGTTTATTACCAGAAATTCTCGTCTTATTGAGCAGATTTTAGAAATTGCTATAAATTCGGAACTTCACTGGATTAAAAGGTAGGGTTGTTTTATAGTATTCCTTTTGTCTGCCCAATTTCTTTATGGAGTTGCCCACCTAAAATTGCTGCTGAACATATTTTTCAAGTTAAACGAATATTCGTTTGGAACCAGTCCCGGAATTACATTTTGACTGGTAAGCTGCTTTTGTTTTATAAGCAAATATTTTTTTTCCTGCTTAGTGACACTTACACCAGCTCCTTGGGCTCCAGTTAGACCCATAAGGCCTCTCTCTCCTTGGGCTCCCTGCATAGAAAACAAGGAGACAGGAATTTGTGAATTATCACTCATTATTTAACTATCGTTATAACCGATGCAACTATGGACCTTGTGTGGATGGTATAGTGTGGCTCTTCTCATTTCAGCAAAATAGACATTTTTTTGGATGTGAATGGCGCAGACTGCGTGAAACCCGGTTTGGACTGACAAGAACATGTCAATAATGTGCACAAGAGGAACGCACCAAAAAGCATGGCTTCATAGCAAAAACGGTGCCGCAGTGTCCTTCAATTATAGTCAAGTTTTTTTAGTTTTACCTCTGAGGGCGTGGTAATGCACAAGGCCATAATATACAAATAGTAACTGCTTCGAGTGATGTAGTCAAACTAGCCTCCCGAGGTGATCCATGAAAGCATTCTATTTTTCCTGAGGCGAAGCCGAGGGAAAATAGAATGCTCCACGGATCACCGAGGGAGGCTGGTTTTACTACACCACAAGATAAAGCAGTCAAAATCTGCTTCTTACACCACTCCTACAGATTCTGCTTGATTTTATGTGATTAACTGATTAACTTAATCTAAATACATTTAAAATGTGCTTCTATTTGAACACAAAACCAGTTGAAGATTTACTTGCACTTTTCCAAGCTACCCCTTCACGAAATGTTTGAACCCAGCTATGTAGCGCTAGCACTGGCGCACAATACCAGCTGTTATGCATATAGTACTTTACTTGCTACGGATATAGTACTTTGGTTGCTACGGGTATAGTACTTTTGGCCATGCACAGCAAAGAGGCAAAAATAGCAAATGCCATGTGACTCGCTCTCGGCCAATCAAGATGCGCAATCTGTGGGTGAGGTGTTATAAATAACACCATGCCGACATTACAAAGACCAAACATCTATGATATCATAATATCAAACTTAGATAATAATGAAAACATAACTTTGAGATTATAAATGTGCTCATAAGATTTCTAAATGAAATGGGTTTTTTTAAAATTGAATGAAGGAATTAATTTCAACACTTACAGCGGGACCAGGGGGTCCTGGGCGTCCATCGTTTCCACCTGGGCCCTGTTGATGAATAAATTAAACAAATTAATCACAAGAAATGTTAAAATAAACTGACTACTAGGCAAGTCGAAAAAGTGCAAAAGTAAAACAAAAATGTGTTCATCCTTTCCAGATGGGAGCCACACTGTTCTCAGAGGTTGTATCCTGGATTTTAATAATTGGTGAAATTGCTACATTTTGAACTAGATCTGCTACTGTATAGGCTGATATAATCGTCACTATAACAATGCTTTTCTCGGTGAACATCTTCCTGAGTTTCTGAAATCTTGAGAAGAATTTGTATCATCAAAAGAACTTACAGCTGGTCCTGGCTTTCCGTCGTTTCCTGGACGTCCGCTGGGTCCTGTGGCACCCTGTTAAGAGGAAAAAAAATTGGATGATGATGAAGCTGTCCTGATAAAATAAGTCGAATGAGAGGTTCTGACCACAGCTATTCTCTTCCATGCTTGTTTCAAAAATTGAATGAAATCCCGCTAGCTCTTCAGTTGCTGCATGCTTTTCTTTTTCATTTGAGGTTTAGGTGGCCAGTCTCTGGCGTGAGAATTAATTTCAATGAAAAAAAACCCAGGAAATTTGTGCAAAAGCAGGAAAAAAAGTGAAATCAGGCCAAAAAGCCCCAAAACAGGCTCAGAATAATTAAAAACACGGAAATTTGACAACAAAAAAATCAGGAATTCCTGTTTTAACTGGAAGAGTCCCATGCCTGCAAAGTCTCTGCTACGAAAAACATCGAGTGATGTGAGGGGGAAAAACAAGGGTTGTTTGCAATATCTAGCAGAAATGTTGATTCTTACCTGTTGGCCTGGTGCTCCGGGATCACCGGTGCGTCCCGGGGAACCCTGGAGGTGGAAAAGAGTGAAATCAAACAATTTGAACTCCAAAATCTCAGCACGATTTGATCGGAACGATTGGTCACTGAACATTGATGTGTTCTCTTTCTGTATCTAAGAGCGTCCAACAACTCCAATGTTAGTCTTCACACAAGATGGACTTTAATAGTTTATAATCTGACACTGAGTCAACTTTGGAAAAAAAAATATCACTCCCAGCAAGTCAATGCACAAGCTACGCAAATAACTGTGACGGAGGCATTCCTTTGTTTGTCTAATATAAACTTGTGACCAGATTTATGAATTGCCTTGTGATTTTTTTATGACCAGCCTTGTGATTGGCCTGTGATCCGTCGCAAGTACCTTGACTACCACAATTCCTATGATAAATTCAGAATTACTCAAACGTCTTCAGAATGTCTTAAGAAAATCATTCTCACCGCGTCTCCCTTCTCTCCTGGGGCTCCTCGAGAACCTTGGGCTCCAGCATCACCCTGAAAAGAAACAACAAATGAAAATAAGAAAAATCCACTTAAAAACATTACTTATGATGAATCTGATAAACAGAAAAATAAAATAAGGAAAACAAGACGTGAATGACAATCGTGCACTTGTACAATTCTTTGATTTCCAGACTGAAACTGGCGATAAATTTGTCATGTGAGGTACAACTCAACCTCGATCCCATGGGTACGATCTTGCTGCGCCATATTGGTTCCCATCATGCCTTGTGCAATCTTAACCCGTGGCATTTTGTAATCTACATATCCAACTACTTGGGAGAACTCAAGAAGGACTGTGTGTTGAGCGACCGACACACAGTGTTTTCAATTTTGAAGTTTTTTGGTAGAGTCAATCCTTTCAAAGATGACATTTATCGACGTCGCTTTGCTAGAATCTATAATGTGCTAATTTATGTCCTCCCTTTTACAACACAAATTACAGATATATTTTTTTTCTCGAAAAACAGGCCTTCAAGACTTTCCATGTTGTAGAGGCATCGAGCAGTCTTGAAAAAAATCTTTGTACGTGACGTGACAAGCAGGAGACAACGTGAGCGCATAATAGGGCATGCAGCGTTTCGAAATATGCGCGAAGTACGCTCTGAACAGTCAATCAGTGTCATTCCGTATTCTACACGGCCAGACATTGGACAAGTTATTTTCCTGTGAGTGTCTCCATGCGGAGAGTGGAAACATCCATGCAATTGAAATGGAGACAATCATTGATTTAAGGATAAAGACAAAAAGAATTCATGATTTCAAAGATGACAATATCTTACCCGCATACCCGTAGCACCAGATGGACCACTAGGTCCTGGCCCGCCCATGCCTCCCTGTACCAAAAAAAAAAAAAGAGAGAAAAGAAAAGTTCTATTAAATGAAAATTTGAATCATGTTTTTTCCTACTTTGATTTACATATGCAAATTGATGGAAGGAAAGGCCGTTTAATGCTAAGCGTTAATTGCTTAGATTCTAGCCAAATTGCTTGAATTCAGTTCCTGGAAAAATGTATCACTGTTAATCTCTAAAGGCACGGGAATCATTATAGCACTCTTCTGGCACAATGTTCACCTGAATAATAACGTCAGAGTGACAGAATAAATACGAGTATATCTACAACCGTAGAAAATACGGAAAATAAACTTGCAACCTTTTCATTACCAATGCGTAGTCAACACAGCTTGTATATTTAGTCATGTGTTGGCTTTTCGTTCACATTATCAAGAACTTGTTATCGTTTTAATTCCTTTTATTGGGGAGGGGGGGGGTGGGAGGGGGATTAATCAGAAGGTTTTTGACTTCAAGGGATAGCTCAGAAGGTTGCATTCAAACGTTTTGTCAAGAGCGATCGTCTAGGTCTTCGTCCACTGCAGCTTAACAGGGAAATGCTGACAGTATGTGAAGCCGTAGCTTTGGAGGACCTATCCAGTTCGTTAGTGTGACGTCAGTTCAGTTTAAACCACGCCCACTGGCCATTAAGTAGCATTGGAACCATTAGAATCCTAAGTTAACACAACTTAGTGTTTATATCCAATGGGCGCTAGTAATCAGTGGTGCGCGCGCATGTATCTTTTACTAACGAACTGGATGCGGACGCGGCTTTGATCGTACCTGAAATTCAAGGACAATAAAGGTATCATGTGGAACGGGATCGGACTGACTGTACTTACCCGGGCACCAGTTGTGCCACGGGGACCAGTTGCACCGACAGGACCATCAGGACCCTGAAAGAAACCGAAAATGGATGTCATCCCTCTCTGACTTCATAATTAATGGTCTTAGTTTAAACGAAAATAACATCAGTGTATGTAGAGATTAGATACAAATGATATACCTGCACAACCAAACATCACATAATACAATTTCTTAAAAATATAAAAAGGTGACGTAAGACTGTGCCTTAAGACAGCTTGTGTTACACACAGCCGATCATGTATCATTCCTTTACAAAGCATTCTGTTAGACGAGGAAACAAAAACGTTTCATGTTGAAGTGACAAAGTTATCTGTTTGCAATATACCATAAACAGTTCAGTTGAACTACTTGATATTATAAATGGTAAAATAATCACAAAATTCTTTAGTTTTCAAAGGGTTTCCATTGATAGAAAGTTTTATAAGCATTACTTACATCACTACCCTCTCCACCGTCAGGTCCAGGCTCACCACGAATTCCAACGCCTCCCTGAAATTACACAGAAAAAAAAAAAACCCAACGATTAACGAAAACTGGAAGAGTTAACTTCCGCATCGTCTAGGTACCTATGAGGGTTTATTGTGAGTATACTCCCTTTCCCTTTCGGGAAAAAAAGTCAACATCCCCAACTTTGCACTTTTACAAAACGTTTCTTTTGTTCAAATAACCGACAATATGCGCCCACTCATGGTTCTTTTTGTTCAGTTTCTAAGTTTGATACTTGAGTAAACCCCATTAAAAAAGAGAGAATAACTCGGCCGCTTCAGGAAATGGCGAGCTGAAAATTGTGCCCAACCCAGTCTTCTCTTCGGGAAAGAAAATGCCAACGTTGATCGAGGCTTAGGTTGTTTATTTAGATAGGTACATGTATTGTGTTCACTGTTGATTACTTTATTGACAGGTAATATACAAAATTTGCTTTTGCTGTAATTTTCAGAAATGTTGTCACACTGACCTGTTTAAAATTTTGTATTCATAGATGCTGGAGAAACCAAGGAATAAAAATGCTGTTCTTGTAGCCTACTACACTACTTCAGATGAAACAGAACATTTTTATACACGTCGGGGAATTGTCTGTTTCCTTGTCAGGTCAGGGAACCAGACTAGCTGGCCTGCATCCATTCACGGGTGTGTAACCGATTGTTAAGAAAACATGGAATAACTAAATTTGGTAAATGGGCGGCCAATTGGCGGCAGTATTTGAGAAAAACCAGTTTTTCCAAGGATGGTCGGCCGAGTAAGTAAGTATGGTATTTCATAATGATTTGGTAGTTTTATTATTTGATGTTTGCAAATGTTGTATATTACCTTTAACTTATTTTTTGGTTATTCATTATTTAGTTAACTTTGACTTCAGTTATTGTGTGTGAAGTGGACATCAGAAAAGTGAATTTGTTTTTAAAAGCTAAAAAGAAAAACTCACAGTTGGACCACGAGGTCCATCAGCACCGCGAGATCCGGCTAGTCCAGGGTAGCCTGGGGCGCCAAGCTCACCACCGGGTCCAGTGGCTCCGCGAGCCCCCTTCAAAGGAAACGGGTAAGAGGTACAAAACCAAAGAGTGATAAATTGCAAAACTTGTTGGTCATACAATATGGACTCGATATGGACACAACATGGACACAATGTGGAAACAATATGGCCGCACTGCCCACTGCATGCCTCGAGCTCACGTAAAGAAGATGTGCGTCCTTTCTCTATGGTCAAACAAACAGAGCTTTCACAAACGATCTCCAAGTGCCGTTTATTGTTCATGCAGGAACACTATGAGCACCTGCTGGTGTAAACTTTTGGTGGATTGTAGATTGCAGTAAAGGCATTATCTCAAGTTTTAAAAAATAGAATTCAATTGCACATTTGTCTCAAATATAATAAATCTTTGGTATCTATTTATATCATAAACTGGTTCTAATTTTGGAATTAGACAAAAAAATTATTTGTTTGCAACATCATAAATAGAATGTGAAGATATGACGACAACTTTCTACTGTAATACAATTTTTCAAAACAAGCTTTACGACTCACTACCTCAAAACCACTCCAAACCTGAAAAATCAAACCTACATGCTTCACATTGTGGCCAAAATTTGGCTCAAAGTATAATTCTGGGTTGACTTACGGTAGATCCTCTTGCTCCAGCGGCACCACCTGGGCCAGGCATACCGGCAGCGCCCTGTTAGCAAACAAACGGAAAAAAAACCAAAAATCAAATATCTTAGCCTTGATTTGTCCTCACGATCCATGTCAAACTACTGCTGAGCAAAAAGATTCTAAAAAGTTACGAAGTCGTCTTTTTGTTTTTGTTTTTTTTATACAACCAAGGGCCACTCTAAATGGAGACTACAAACAAGCGATAAAGAAGCAAGTAATAGGAAAACAACAGGAATTTGTTTATTTTAGCTTGACCTGTGTTACGCTCTAAGACAGGGAAGGCAAGATTTGGTTGAGCCTGCCTCGATCAGCAAGTACAAGATTGTGAATGTATCAAATGTAAAGGAGGGACAATATACAAATATTGAGTGGCTCAGCATGGAATGGGAGGAATATTATTGCAAGGTAAAAGCTAAACTTTTCCATTTCATGAGGCGAAGCCGAGTGAACTGGAAAAGTCCAGATTGTACCAATATTTGTTTTATATAACTGACATACAGATCCTTGTCATTTGATATTTGAACTTTTCTTTCAATACAAAATGGGTGGAAAATGTATTTCTCTCTTCCAAACCACACCTTCACGAAAATGTTTGAACCCAATGCTGTAGCACTGGCTCTTTGGAACAATACGTGCTACACGCAACGCTGAACGCGCACACCAGCATGCATTTGCACACAAATACCGCGTCTTGGAACAAGAATGATCCTAACTGTTGAATAGTATTTCCCATTCCCCATGGGCGAATGGGACTTTTTGAGCCCCGGCGTGAATAGGATCAATAACGAATGTCACGTGATGTGAGTTCCAACAATCAAATGACAAGGATCTGTATGTCAGTTATATAATAGGCAATGGCAAGGTGTAAAGAATCAAACTGAAAATGCTTACCGCATCGCCGACTGCACCAACAGCACCATCGCTTCCAGCGTTTCCCTAGAATTTACCAAAAAAAAAAAAAATTATAATAATAACCTAATTATAAAATAAAAATGAGCATTTATAATCACCACACATCTACCTGAAGATAGGATCTGATACACCATGCCCTCTGGAGACATGCACACAATAGGGAACAAACAATTGTATACGTCTCCACAGGGCAATTTCTACAGATGAATTTGTCTCCACAAGATTTCTACGAAATAGATTTATGGTTTTTACTCAAAAACTAGGAATTTCCAAGGTATGTATATCCATCGCAAATGGTAGAGTTTTAAAAAAGGGATATTAAGTCCGAATTTCAGCCAAGGAAATTAATTCTGGTTATAAAGTAAGAGCATTTTGAAACTGTACTTTCAAACTCGAAAACCTTAGTACACGAGAAGAAAGAAATGTCTCCACAAGGATACAAATGTCAGTATGTGTGTTCTCATTGCTCTTGTATAAACAGAAAAAAACAAACAACAAATAATACTAAACTCAAATGTACAATTTAGAAGAGAGAGAATTTATAGTGTGGTGATGTGGGCTGGACAAAATTAGCGTGTTTCAAACAAAACTTGTAAGAAGAAGAGAAGGTAAAAATGTTTATAAAAGAAATATGCATCAACGCCGAAAGTTCACCTCCTCTTTGATAAACTCAAAATGACTAATTCTATCAATTCTTGGCAAATCATATGTAAGACGTTTCTGAAGACATCCAAAGACAAAGAAAGTGCACGAAAGTAGACAAGCTACTTGGAGTAGGAGACTTACAGTAGCACCAGTGGCTCCTGGGGCACCGTCAGCGCCGTTCTCGCCGCGCTGACCTACGATACCTTGGAAGCCCATATCACCCTGGGGACCTGCATCTCCCTGTTATGATTTGGGGGAAAAAAAAAAAGCATAACGATAACAAACTGAAGAGCAAAACGTTTTTTTTTAATATGACTGAGCAAAAATGATAGTTTAACCCAAAAAAATTCACAATCTAAAACCAGACAGTGATACATACAAGTCTATGTAAAGCTTTAACATCTGTAACGAACACAGGTTATTGAACCCATTTGTTACTGTACCGCCTAAAACCGCCCTAGCTTTTACTCACCGACTGCCCCAAACATCCTGCACACCCTACGTTTTTTTATGGATTCTTATTTGTAAATAACTACAGTGTAAAACAATGTAGCACAGGTGTTGCTGGATTGAAACCGATTACTTGAAAACTAATCAAAGATATTTGCATTTTTGTTTTGGTGTGCATTTTTGTTTTGTTTTGTTTCGTTTTGCTTTTAGGTGGGTTTTGGCGTTTATTTTTTAATTTTTTTTTGGCTCTCTTCTAGTTTTGAAGAAGGTAACGGAAGATAATTTTTACTTGCGAAAGTTAAATTTGTGAAATAGATATGGAAATCAACCATGGCTCATTTAGTTCCTAAAATTGAGGATATTTTGGAAATAAGGTTTTTTTCTTCAAATTTGGGAATTAAATAGACTCACCTTTGCACCAGTTAATCCCATGGCACCCATTGATCCAGTGGCTCCTTGGGGTCCCTGAAATAAAGAAACAAATAAAAACACTCGTTTTTTTACATTTGGACCGAATTGTGAAACCTGTTGTAAACATACCAAGTTACTAAAGTCTGAGCATACTTTGACTTGAACACAGCAAACGTGGACTGCTTAAAGGGAATGTACATTTGCTCTGGCTGTAATTATCAGTAGTAACTGGATTTGGGAGATTAGAATGTTATAAAGCAAATATTGTTAAACTGACTTGTTTCACATTTTGGGCTTGAAGATGCTGGAAAAACCAAAAAAAAACATCACGTTCTTCTAGTCTGGTTCCCTGACCCCACTTAAGATTAAACGGCGTAGTTTGGCGACATTGGGGAATTGTAAGGTCAGAGAATCAGTCTGGCAGGCTTGTACCCCTTCACAGGTGTGTAATCAATTGCAAAGAAAATGCGGAAAAACTATGAAAACCTAAGAGCACTTTTTGAAAAAAGCCAGTTTTCTCCAACGCTGGTCGGCCGACCAGCGTTGGAAAAATACCAGTTTTCTTGAAAATGTCAGCACACCAGGAGCCACGAATTTACAGGGTGCTTTAAAATGTCATAATAATCCAATAAGACATTTTGTAATAATTTGATCGTTTCGTTTTTTGATGTTTGCAAATGTTGTATCTTCCCTTTAATATAAATTAAGTGTAAGGCGTCTTGAAATACACAAGTTTACCATTATTTACGACAATCAAAACATAACACGATAAAAATATAAAGCGGAAAACTGGCTGATAATACTGCACCATTCCAAAATGCTTTCTAAGAGTCGGTCCTCTAGGCTTGGGTCCAAAGTGACCTTTTTGCCGGACGTAATTTTAAGGAGAAAACAAAATGACACCGACAAATGAAAGGTTACTACTTACGCTATTTCCGATATCACCATCACTGCCATCTTGACCGCGAGTTCCCTGTTTTAAAAAAAGAACGAAGAAAAATTAATTCCATCAGTAAGGACAGTTTCATTTCAAAAATGACATTAATGGATCGATACTGGAGATCAATTTGTTGGAAAATAGAATTGGAAAAATCAAAAGGTTCACTTACGACGGATCCGCGGGGTCCGCGCTCGCCTCTCTCACCTTGGACACCAATGGCACCCTGAGGAAGAAAAGTAAAGTTGTAACATTGTAACAAAAGAGAAGGGGCTCAGGCATCTGCACTAGTAAGGAGGTTGTGGGTTCCAGTTCCGCCTGACCAAGCATGTTATATTAATAATAATAATAATAATAATAACACGATTTATAGCGCACGTTTTCGCAAGTATCAAAATTTTCAGTCTGCCCGTGAAGTTGTCAAGAGAACTGATGTTGCGGATGTTGCGTGACAAGGAATCCCAGCATCGGGGACCAGACACTGAGAAGGCCCTGTCCCCTGCCTTTTTGAATGTGCGTGGAACTCTAAGGTTGTTACTGGAGCGGAGGCCACTACGGCTGGGTGCATTAAGGTTGAGTGATCCCATTATGTACTGCGGCATTGTGTTATGAAGTGCTTTGTGCATGAAAACTGCTGTTTTGAAGTTGATGCGTTGTCTAACTGGTAACCAATGTAATTGGTGAATGAGTGAAAAGGCATGTGTGTATTTGGGTTGAGATAATGTGATACAAACGGCATTGTTTCACATGGACACGTGGTATTTAGTTTAGTGCTTGGACGGTATCCAGAAGGAGGAAATGAAAATTGATCAAAACTACGGCGTTAAATTCTTTGCAAGAGCTTGTTCTGCACTCACACTTGTTTTTCCGGCAGGTCAATGAAAGACAAAAAACAAAATTAGATTTTCATGTGCAATCTTTACATAATCCACTAACGAAAAGTTTCAGAAGCAAAGCTCTGGAAACGATCATCTTGAAGGACACAAGTTAATTTCGGTTTCAAGAAATCGGGGCATCGTGGCTGAAATTTGGTGGACAAAGGTGAGGGTTAGAAAGAGAGAATTTGCAATGACTTCCTTGGACCAATGGAACAAAGCAGAACTGTCAACAAAGTGAAACAAAATTGAAAAGATAAATCTTTGGAAGCAAAATGGGTGTGTGAGAATATCAATTTCCTGGCTATTAGGCTGAGAGTTTTCTAACATTTATGCAGCATGTAGGAAGATTATCAATTGTTATCAATACAATAAGTATATGAATTCAAAAGCCGGGAGGGTTGGGTTGTTACAGCCCGAGGGGTTCATCTACTTGTACGAGATAACTCACTCTTGCTCCTGGGGCTCCAGCAGGTCCGACTGCTCCAGTGGCACCGGTATCACCGGCCTCACCGGTATCACCAAGAGCTCCCTTGCGACCACGAGCACCCTGTAAAAAAAAATTACGAATTTGAAGATTGATGAAAATGTGACTAAAAACCAAGGGCTGGAACCTGAGACCACTGACCTGCCACTCCAGAGCTCGATCAACCTTTCCAATCTTCAACAACAAAAATTAGACTGATGACAGAATCTGAATCGAGCCGGGGCTAGGACCAGAGACCACTGGTTTCTATTCAAGAGCTCTACCGATCTTTGACCAGGCATGCAACTGGGAAATCACCAAAAAAGAGGAAATCCAAATTTTCCCCAGACTTTGTACAGTGTTTTTCTATTTTCAATGGCACACATGGGAAGTAAAAAACAGAGGAAATCAGCTGATCCGAGGAAAAGTTGCATGCCTGTTTGACCCTTTGATGAACTGGAAAGAGTGACGGCAAAAACGTGAGCGAACCAGGATTGGAACCTTTTACCACTGGCATGCAATTCCAGTGCTCCACCAAGTAAAACTAATTAAACCCTGTCTTGACCTGTTAAAATTACTTACTCTCCATCCTTTGTGTCCTTGTGCCCCAGGTCTGCCCGGGTAGCCACCTGCACCCTGTAACAAACCAACAATTCAGAACGTGATCAAGCGTCGATTTTGAAGTTAACATCTGTCCTACGTATTACAAATTGAATTAAAATTAAACTTTGAAGGTACAATGTAGCTTACACTGGACTCTGACTACAGTCAGAAAAGTACATATTTTTTTCTTAAAACAACTTCCATCGAAAGAAAAGTAAGTTATGTTTCCGGTCTTTGTACATTTTTTTCAATTTATCATTTTGTTCGGAGGGTTAAAATTGGAATAAGACTGTACCCGTCTTCCACCTGGGCCAGGAGCTCCGATTGATCCAGGGCTACCGTTGCTTCCCTGCCAAAAAAAAAAATTAAAAACAAACAAATTAAATAAATGAGTATAAAGATAACTCTCAGTGACTGGCAGTTCCCACAGATCTAACTTCCAGAAAAGAAAAATAGGAATTTCAACATTTTATTAATCTCCAATCTACAACAGAAATTCCTAAAATAAGTGCTATTTAAACACCAAACACAACATGCTTTTACTGCAAAAATTCAAACAAGTGTAAATGCTACACTCCAAAAATGATGTACAAAAACATAACATCCCAGGACGTGCCTTTTGCTTGAAACTAGGCGCCCATATTTTTCCCAGTGATTATTAATGGATAAGTTGTTGTTTTCTGACAAAAAAAAAAATATTGATTTTGTTTTTGTTTTGTTGAAAAAGAAAATTTTAGACTGCCTTACATCTCTGCCCTCATCACCATCAGGTCCTCTTGGGCCAGCCGGTCCGGAACGTCCCTGAAAACCACAAAAAAAATATGAATAACAATGGTTTTAGAATATTAACCCAATTGTTTTGCAAGAAAACAAATTGTTTGAAATAGCTTTATGAGATTGACCTAAAAAGTACTTTACATAAAAAAACCCCGTTATTTGCCTATTAAACGGCAAGCCAATCAAGGTACAGGCCTACCGAGAAGTGTAGGGGAAAAAAAACATAAGAAATGAAAATGTTGAAACACTAAAACCAACAATTAGGGAACTTTTACCTTAATATTAAAAACGGTGCATCATTTTAGGTAAAATTATTGGCACAAATACGTGCGATTTTTGCATGAATTACAACAAAAGGCTGAGAGAAAAATAACAACGTACAGGTCGGCCAACAGGTCCGCTCTCTCCTTGAACTCCTTGCATACCTTGGGCTCCCTGAACAGGGTAAAAAAAAAAATGTGAATAATAATGATCTCAAAATTCAAAATACAAACTTGGCTTTCACTAATACATCAAGAACGCAACCTTAAGGTATTTGAATGAAGGGGATAGTAAACTAGTAAAACTCTGAGTTTATAATTTGATCTTTTGGAGAGTTTGAGTATTTCGACAGTGAGTTTGATTTTTTTTGTTTTTAATGAAAATGCGGGAGAACCCACTCCAATGTCTGCCTAAAAAAATGTACAAATTTGGAAACTTTCGGTCCAAGCTAGACATAATTCCCAAACTCTCTGATCTTTCATCCCGGCCATGTCAGCTGACAACCCATGTGAGGGAGGGGTCACATGACAAGTCAGGTGGCAGAACTCACGCGTTGTCCAGAGGCTCCGGGTGCGCCGGGTGGTCCAGGAGGTCCCTGAAAAAAAAAGAAGGGAAAAAAGACAGGAAAATCAGACACAAATTTTAAAAGACCTTAAATTCAATCTCACCAACTTCTATTTAATTCTGCTTTGGGAAAAAAACGGGTCACTGATCTCTATACAAAGACTGGATAAGGTTCAGAAAGCTGCAGAGGAAAGCTGGTGGAGTGTCATGGCCTAGCGGTTAAGAGCACCGGACTCATGTTCTGGTGTTTCAGAGGCAACAGTGATGTGGGTTCGAGCCCAGGCGCGGACTCTTGTGCTCTTAAGCAAGGCACTTAACCATTCTTGCTTTGTCCTTCGGATGGGACACAAAGCAGTAGGTCCTGTGTGTTGTATAAGGCCTAACGCATGTAAAAGAACCCAGTTATCGCTAAGAGAAGGGGTTCGCCCCGGTGTTTCTGGCAGGAAGGATGTGTATACCCTGCCCGTGTGACCCCTGAGAAGGGGTGTTGGTGCAGTATTCATCAAGACAAGACAAAGCTATTTGAAGCCGTATTGAAAAAACCAGCTGGTGACCTCTACAGGACAATTTGCCGTCTTTATCAGCAGTTGTGATTTACTTTTGTAACATCGTGGTTCACCTGGTTTACCTCTATTCCACCACCACTGACCATGGTTCACAGTTTTCAAACGTTGTGGTTTACTTTTTGAATGCCGCATTTCACTTTTTGTGACGTTTTGGAAATATAATCACGACGGAAATGTCCTGTTTAGAACATCACAATACGTATGCGTGCCATAATGTGCGAGCTGGATACAGCGCGCGCTGTATGTACGCATAGAACATACATATATCAGCGGCCATTTTGGGAAGATCGAAGGCGAACTGGTTAAAATGCAAAATTCAACTGTGTAAATGGTTTATCGGCATCTGCTATCCAGTCTTTATTAAGAGATCAGTGGACCTGGTGCCAATTTCTGCTAAGCACCGAAAATCTTTTGCTTAGCAGAAACAGGTTACCGGCCAACATGTCATGCGTTGTCTACTGCTTTGTGACTGGTATTCAGCCGATTCTTGCTTAGCACGTAAATTTTGCTAAGCAGTATTTTCTGATTAGCAGCACTGTAAAATTGGACTCTGTCTGGCCATGTCCAAATTACTTGGCTACGGCTTGAAATTACACGAGTCTATGGTAGCGGCTGCAGCCACTTCACATAGACCCGTGTGTAATTTCCAGTAGCCGTAGCTTAGTAATTCAGACACGGCCATTTCTAAAAAATCACCCATCTTACCTGGATGACTTGCTGTGGTGCTCTGTTGTATCCCCCGGCATAGCCTGGTCCCTTCATGGATCCGTAGTTTTGTTGGTAAGTTGGGGCAAGTGCCTAGATTAAAAGAAAAATAAACATTGAGTAAAATTCTTTCTCTGGAAAACTACTCAGCCTTTAATGTAAATTAAAATTGTAATTTGTGCATTTTGTTCGTTTGAAGCAACAAAAGTGTTCAAAATCTAATGAAGGATACTGAACAACTAACCTGATGACGTTTCAGCTCAGCTTCAGCTGTATATTCCGAGAAAAACAGCATTCTAGGATCTCAATTTCAAATCAAAAGTTGCTGAATCATGTTTTGAATTGTTTTGAATTGCAGCTATACGCGATGTTGCGCACTGATCCGACGAATTGTAGCAACCGCGAGCACCTGTGCGTCGTGCCAATGCTTGCGTGCACTGCGCCGAATAACAAAACGAACTAATAATTTAAATTTCCCTACGGTGCGTCTTAAGATGCACGATTGGAAAGGCCTTCTTTCGTTGATTACTTCAAAATGATAGCTTGGCAGAAAGATTGATTTCACAGGGAGTTTAGTCCACTTACTATCTTTCAACCAAGTTTGTTTTTCAACAATAATACGCCAGTCACTTTTTCGGATGGCTGCAAATGATGGACTATAGCTTCAACCGTGAACGACGGATTTCTAAGTAACTCTCAAGAATAAATGTGAGGCGTTCTGGCAAAATGAGACACAACTAGGCAGAGGTCGAAATGCTTGGTGGTTATTAGGGAAAAGAATAAAATTCTCCCTACAGTACACTTTGTTTTGCTCTTCAGTTGGACATTCTGTTAACAAGTTATGGCTGTTTAATGTTTGCATTTATATCAACATGAAAAAAAAATAAGATACTGTAAAAAAGAAGGTCTACAAAGTTTTGAGTTTTTGTATTCGTGAAAATATGCCAATTGTTTTCCCTTGAAATCACTTTATTCCACGATTTTTATACTATCTCTTTTTAAATTATTTGTAGTAGACACATAAAAGATTACAAATATCAAAGTAATCCCCATTAGTTTTTTTTGCATTTTTCTCCACACAGTTCCATCTAATTTTTGCCAGAGTGACTCACAAATGAGAATGATTTTATTTTTAAGTGGCTTCACCTCTCCAGGGGGTCCTGGTGGTCCTGGGGGTCCTTCCGGTCCTCCGTATCCTTGGAGACCATCGTCACCTCGTTGTCCCTAATCAACAACAACATAAACAAACATGGACCGAAATTCAAAACAAGTGGACAACCCTCACGGATGAACTGCTCATGCGTTTGAGTCTACCGAGAAATTTCAGATTGATTTTGTTTTCTGACTGCAGTGGCTTTTATTGGAAAAAAAAAACCCAACAAATGAAGTTGGAGAGATGGAAAAATGTCTTAGTTTACAGTGACCTTCTTAAATGAGTTTGACCCTTGACCTTGATCATTGCAGCTCACTGCACACTGGCTCATATCAGAGAATCTTAACAGTAAAGTTTTTACAGAAACTTCCTGAAATGCAGGGATGAAGTACCCTTTGAATTATTCCACAGTACTTCACAAAGGCAAGGTATGATATTTTTTTTAATGATGGTTTGTTAAAGATTACACATTATGTAATAAAACCAAATGTAAGTAGCACACTTACCTTCAGACCACTTGGTCCCATGCGGCCAGGATAACCCTTTGGTCCAGAGAATCCCTGAAGAGATTCAAATTGTTTGAAACTTGTAAAATTTGTGGGCAATAAGTGTGGGGAGTCAGGTTGGCGTAGCGGTACTTTCCTCGCCTTCCACCGTTGTGACCTGGGTGCGAATCCCGCCCGGGCCAATATGTGGATTAGGTTTTTAGTCCCTACCTGATTCTGTGGGTTTCCCCCAGACTGTTCTTCTGGGCTTTTCCTCCCACCTCTAAAACTGTCATTCCTTCTCAATGTCTTCTTTCCACAGGTTTCTGGCTTTCGAGCTACAGTGCCTAAGGCACTTTTGAGGAATCCAAGGTTTCATTACCAGAAAGTAGTAAACTAAAAGTAAAATAAAATAAAATAAAATAGTTTTCACATTGCGATTTCAGGCCGAAGGTTTGCGTTAACCTGAAATCTAATTTTTTTTTTTTTAAACTGAAGTAACGTGAACAACTCTACATCTTCATTTGAGAAAAGAGATTACATATGCACCAAAATGCAAAAAGATGGTGTCATTTCTTGCTGCGGTAGTTCCAGCTACTACAGTTCTTTTCCCAGATACAACACGATTAGCGGAAGGATAGGTTGATGCTAATAACAGTAAATAACACTCTCAAATTAAAAAGAGCAAGGTTTAAAAAAATAGTTTCATATCTAAAGGGGTGAAAATTCCACATACTGCCGGTCCTGAGACTCCTGGGTGGCCAGGGGGTCCAATCATGGGAAAGTCCTGCATCATACAGAGACAAAGAGAAAAAAGATAAATATAGATACAAAATTGATAACAAAATTCCAATACTATGTGACAGAAGTTTTGTATTCTCAAGAGATCTTCTACAGTTTTATCTCAAAATATCTTGTCCTCCTCACTTTTCAGAATTTTCTTGTTTTCAGGTCATTAAATTGAGAGGGCAATGTCATTGAAAGACTTGACAGAACATGTCGTCGCGTGAGTGGGGTGGTGGTTTGGAAGAGAGAAATACATTTTCCTCAAGTTTTGTATGGAAATAAAAGTTCAAATATATCAAATGACAAGGATCTATATGTCAGTTATATAAAACAAATATTGAGTGGCTTTAAATTGTGAAATAGGAGGAATATTATCGCTCGGTAAAATCTGGACTTTTCCAGTTCACTCGGCTTCGTCTTGTGAAATGGAAAAGACCAGATTTTACCTTGCGATAATATTCCTCCCATTCCAAGCTGAGCCACTCAATATTTGTATATCAAAATGAAAAAATGTCTTAATGAGAAAGAAGACTTTTACTTTACTCTACGTGACAGATTAATAATAAACCTTTTTTTTTTCTAATTTGAAGACAGACTTACAGAAACACGAGCCGGTTCTCCGGGGTATCCCTTTTCCCCCGGTGGTCCTCTTTCGGGCTAGTCATGACCAAAAAATAAGAAAAGAAAAGATTGTTCTTTTTAGAAAGAGTGTGCTAAAATCTTAGGGGAAAAAAATGACCAACACTTTACATGAGATCGCAGGTTTGGTTTTGCAGGCTGATGAAAAATAAGGGTTTAATCTGAAAAAAATGAAATTGGAATTCTTGTGACATCAATATTTCAATGAAGAAAATACAACTGTTGATTGTTTCTTATCAGGGATGCAACAGGCATTTCAGACATGCAAGGCATTCCTGCGATTGTTTTTTTTTTTTTTCAATATGATAACATTTTTCCAATGAGAACAAAAATGATCCACTTTTCTGAGTTTTACAAGTCCGACAAATATTATTGGTGATTCTTTTCATTGTGGTTGAATGGCTTACCTTGACGGCTGCGATGATTAATACCAAAATTGAAGCCATCCACCAAGAGGGTTTGGTTGACGTGGGAGGAAAACAGAAACAGTTATGAATACAGTCAAAACGATAAAATGAAAAGTTTTCACAAACAGCACCATCACAGACCTAGTCCGATACCAATGTTAAATACTGACTTGCTCTGAAAGTTGTGTTTACTTCCTGACAACCTGTGGTCACAACTGGTTAATTTACTTACTTTGGGCTCATAATCATTTACATTACACTACGACACCTTTAAGTTTACCGGCGAGACTTTTCAGGACGTTTGCTTCTTACCCTTGACACAATTTAGTTTTTTACACTTCCTCAAGGCCCCCTCACGAGCGCCAGCCAAAGTAAAATCAAAAGAGGACTGCTCTGACTTTGTGAGCTCGACACACACATAACCGCCGCCCTCTTCACAAGGCACGTCATCTTTATTGATGCGGGCGGCCAGGTTGTTGAAGGTCAGTCTTGTGCCTGACCTCAGGGAACGACTGCTCATCTCAGGGGTCAGGGTCTGGCTATCAAGCGTCCGGACTTTGACAGTTCCATCGGGATCGTTTGAGACATAACTTTTCAGCCGCCAAAGGTTTCGTCCGCTGGCGTCACCGCTGTTGGGGTTGGAGGTCACGGTAACGTCAAATTCAATCTCGGTGGTTTCATCAGTGATGTCAAAGTCGTCACCTCTCAATTCAGTGCTGTCAATTGTGACGCCTGAAAAGTGACATCAAAATTGCATTAATAAATGGCACAAATTCAACATAAGATATGCTGTCTTGGATGATAGTCATAATTTCTTGAATGACCAATTTGAAAGTTTGGCCAATTGATATCCATAACTACTAACCTGTGACACTCAACAGAAAAAAATATACACACAATACAAAGGAAAAGCCCACTTTCCTCATAAGTTTATCTCTTACCTTCTGTCTTTAAAAAAGTAATTATCTTCTCCAAACGTCTAGAGTCACTTTAAAGTTAAATATAGTGTTTTTTTCTTCATTTTTTTTTTAACAACAATTGTCAAATTGAATATGTTTCCTAAATTTAAGTTTCAGTAACCAAAATGAATTCATACCGTCACATTTTTGACGGATGCACTTTCTCAGAACGCTTCGATCGGGAACCGGTGTAAACTCAAATGGCGGGTCTGGTCTGGTACCCTGATTCAGCTCGGCGCACAGGTACCGCACATCATTGCAAGTCAGGCCCTTCATGTTGAAGTTGGTGTCCACCATACCGAAGTCGATGTTCTCGCCGGGGTACGCGTCCTTGTTGCGCTGGTAGTTGCTAAAGACTCCCGGCTGTTCATTAAAACGTTGTCCGGCGCCATTCTCGTACTGGCTGCCATACATGGTGAGGTCCCAAAGGTTGTCGCCATAGACACCACCACTGTCGGGAGTGACGACTGCCTCGAGGTCAAGCATGACTCGATTATAGGGGTCATTCTCTTTCAAGACGGAGTAATCGTTGCCTACAATGTTCAGGCCACGAACCTTTACACCTTTAAAAAAATTGCGTGGAAAACAAAACAAAACATACTTTTAGAGCCAAAAAAGCATACCCTTTTGCCTGTGATTAAATAGTTGTTACACAGTTTGAGAAATCTAAAACCAAGAAATATTGAAAAGCGAAATTCCATAATTACTGCAAACCATATGGCTGCCAAACAGCTTATACAGAACTCAGTCTTCTCTAACTTCATATTTTAAAATTTTGTTAGGATGCTGGCCACTTTCTTAGAAAAATACGGAAATTAAAGTGTCAAAGTCAGGAAATGTTTGACCTATGTAACAAACTTTACAATATACTTGGCTTTACTTTAAATGAAACAAGCTGGAAATTTGACACTAACCTTTGCGGCATTCCTGATCCTTACACTTGGTCACGACCTCTCCACCACGAGCGGTCTCAAATTTGAAGTCAGGCTGTGCCCTCAGACCCTTGGCATACTCCACGCAGAGGTACTGGAACTCCGACTCGCATCCGATGGCCGAAAGGTCAAACTCGGTGTCGATCTCGGGGAAGGACAGTGTCTGTCCGGCGGTCAGGTCACGGCTGGATTGGGGACGGTTCAGGATCTGGCGTCTGAGTCCGATCTGCCTTCCCTTGCCGTCGGGTCTGGTGGAACCGAAGATGCCCACCCTCCACATGCTGTCTCCAGTGGCGCTGCCAGCAGATGGTCTCGGTTCCACGTCAACAGAGAGTCTAATCGGTGACGGTCGACCGGAGACGACTTTGTCGGACAACACTTCCATGTTCCAGTCCATGTCATCGATGATAACGCCTGAGGAATTTTTTTTTATAAAAAATGTGAGTATAACTTATAATTACAACTACATTGATAAACGACAAAGATGGTATGTTTAAAACAACAACTCTGCGAAAAGATTAAGCAGTGGTCAATCAATGATTCACAGACATTACAATATTTCACTAGAGACATACAATCTAAATACTTCTTTTTGTTCTTGGGCTTATCTGGTGGAGCTGCTCAGCACAGAACTTTGCTAAGTACTGGGTGCAGAAATGTGCAAATAACTGCTTAGCAAAAACAGGTTACCAGCTAAACGTTTTACACAGTATCTATTCCTGCTGACTGGTTCCCATTTGACCACTAAATACTTGACAAGTGAATCAGCTGAGCATAGTATGAATTTGGTCCTGGCCCTGAATGGACTTACCTCTGCACATTTTATCAGGCACCTCCATACAGTCTCGGAGTACTCTCTCATTGGGGACAGGGGTGAGCTCAAAATCGCGCGAGGAGCTGGGATTACGGCTGAACTCCGTACACAGGTACTTCAGTTTCTTGCAGTCGACCCCCGTCATGTCGTAATCGGTGTTGATGGTCTGGAAGTTCAGAGTTTCGCCGGGATTCATAAGCTCCTGGCTGCTGAAGTAATCTGAGAGGATTTGCTCTTGTGGGTTGTAGCGCGGGCCCTGTCCGTTCGGGCGCTCGCTGCCGTACATGTTCAGACGCCACATATTGCGGCCTACCATCGGGACGCTCTGGTCGGTGGTCTGCACGATGGTGTCCACCTGGAGAGAGTTATCGGTCTTGCCCTCATACAAATCACCGCCGACGAGAGTGGAATCGACTCCAGACACATATACACCTGTTGGTCAATGGCCCAACCAACATTTATGTTAAAACAGTACCTCAAATAATCATTTGCAAAATGGTACTGTTTTCCACAAAAACCAAAACACACAAGAAGCCCATAATGACAAAAGCTATTGTAAAGCAAAGTAATGCACTTGCATTTTTTCCCCCCAAAGCTAATTTTTGGTTAAACACATCAATGTACATGCATTTAATCTTTTACTGAGAAATAGTCGCAAATTGTACTACTACAGTACAGAAGTTCACATATTTTGGTATCAAGGAATTAAGCCAATGGTGGTCATACCTTCAGTGAAAACATTTTTTTATTACAAATTTTTTTCAAACTACGTGTTATTTACTTTTAAACATTTGTTTGAACAGTGAAGACAATATTGATCTTTGACCATCTATTTTACCTTTTACTGTTTAATTGCAACACCAAGGAAACTTCGGAAAAACTTGTTGAGATTTTTAAAAATCAGACATGATACAGAGCGAGTTAAGCAAGGGTCTATCTAAACCCTCAATACCAGGAGTGACGATACTCACCTCCACAGTCTGCAGGCTTACAGCTGATGAGGGAATCCCCGGGGCCGGCTGTTCTGAATGAATACCTTGGGTTGGCATACACACCCTTCTCAAACTCCAAGCAGAGGTATCCGTACTCCCCGCATCCCAGGTCTTCCATGGGCAGCCTGGTGCTGATGTCATTGAACTGGATGGGGCCGCCGGCCGGCATGGATCTAGCCTGGTTGAATCCATCTAGGATCTGTGATCTCTCCGGTTGCCTCTGGCCGGAACCGTCTGCGTTGCGACTGCCGAAGAGGTTCATCTTCCACAGGCCGGTACCGTCCAGCTCACGGCTCTCTGGAGTCGTCCGAACCGTTGCATCGATGGCAAGTGGGGTCGGCATCCCGTACTGCATTGTGCCAGTCTCATAACTCCAATCCATTTCAGTGACTGTCACACCTGTTTTTAATCAATCAAAAATAAAAGTGAAGTTTAATATTACACCTGCAAATGGGATGATGCGACATGAAGAAAAAATAAGAGACTGGCAGTGAAATGTAATGTGAACAACACATCAATGCATACCTTTGCATCTGTCTCCAAGCTCAGTGCAGGAAACCAGGGCTCTCTCATTTGGCTCGGCAACAAATGTATAATCGGGATCGGCATCAGGATTCTTGCGCAGCTCCGTGCACAGGTACTTGACATCTTCGCACTGCAGCCCTCTCATGTCAAAGCTGACTTGGGTGTTGGGGAATGGCAGATCGGAGTCTGTCTCCAGGGTTTGATCCCTCTGGGGCTGGCTCAAGACTTGCTCCTGGTAGGCCAGTTTACGACCGCGTCCGTCGCGGTTGGCGCTGCCGTACATGCCCACGTTCCAGAGGTTTGAACCGGAGACTTCGGTGGAGCCTTCGCCGGTAACACCTGTGATGTCCATGGTCAACTGATTATCCATCTTCTCCTCAATAACTGGACCGTCTCCGCCGATGGAGGACTCCAAACCAGTAAACACAGCACCTGCAATGAATAAAACAAATTTTTTTTGTTGAAAAATATTCAACAATTCGATTTTTCAACATAACCTTCCCAACCTTGCTCATTCCGTTCTCTAGTAACATCCTTAAGAATTTTTTTTTTCCATCGCCTACCTGCTTTGTGGATCTCATTAACCATTGAAATTTGTTGTTCCACATCACCTTTCTCCATCAAAAAAGCTGTCAACAGTTTTTGTTCCCAGAGTAATGTTGCAGTGGTGGACAGCAGTATGGGTAAAATTTTACTAAAATAGAAGTGAGTGTTATATTTCATAATTATTTATATTTTGTTTTACTGTCAATTTTCCCTCCACTTCACATTTTAAATGGGCAGACTGTACCTTCGGGTGATAGGATTTTTTTCCCCTCCACGGCCTTGCCTTCTTCAAATCTATTTTTTCTTGTGCTGATTTTTTTTTTTATTGTGGGTTTATAACGTTATTGTATCTATTCATGTGGAGAGAAATACAATAATAATAATGATTAACAAATCTATCTTATCTTTATGTCTGCCGTTTAATTTCAAAAGCTGTTGCGAAAACTGTTCTGCTGCATGAACAAGAGGAGCGTTTGACAGGAGCGTTAGTTATCAAATTTGACTTACGAGCTGAGCACTTCTGTTTCTTGCAAGATGTCAGAACGTTGTCCGTCACGTCAGAACGGCCGCTGACTTCGAATCGGAAGTCTGGCTCAGGCATATCTCCCTTGGTGAACTCGGCGCAGACGTAGCCGTACTCGTTGCAGCCGATGGAGCCAATGTCAAAGTCCACCTGCTGGTTCCGGATGTTCATTCTCTGGCCTCCCCTGAGTGTCGTGGAGGCACCGGCCGGATTGAGAGCCTGACTGACGTAACCGAAGCGGTCGGTTGGATCGCCGTCGGCGCTACGGCTTCCGTACATGCCCATCTTCCACAGCCCGGTGCCGGACAGGTCCCGGCTGCCGCTCCTGGTGTCGAGCTGGGCGTCGAAACTGACGGGTGTCTGCTGTCCAGGAATGGGAGTACCAGGGTCGTAACTCCAGTCAAATCGCTCAGCAATAACTCCTATCGGTACAATCAGATGAGACCAAAAAAAAAGTGTTTAGACTAGGTCTTGGTGAAATGGTTGAACTTGGTGATTTGTCATGTGAAATTGAGATGATATATCTACAGGCATGCAACTGTACAATCACAAAAAAAGAGGAAATTCCAAAATTCAGAAGACTTTGTACAGTGTTTTCCTATTGTTAATGGCTGAAATGGGAATAAAAAAGAGAGGAAATCAGCTGATCCCAGGAAAAGTTGCATGCCTGTATCTAGGAACAAAACTCCTGTCAAATCAATCAGCGATAAAACCCAAGGAGCCTATGGAGGGAATCAAATTAAATTCAAATATGTGAGCGAAAGGGTTGTACACAGCAATTCTCTGTCTCTCTCCCTGTGACAGAGAACTTCAACAAATTTGATTTTTTTTTCCTAACAATTTCTTTTAAACTTGTAACTTTTATTTAAATAAAAAAAGCCCTTTTGTTTTTAAATTTGGATAACTGCAACTCCCTGAAAAATGGCTGTTGTTTTACGTTGCTATTATGCCTCATAAGTAACAAAATTTCAGGTTTGCTTGAATTATTGTCAAGCTCCAAGTACCTCATAATTTCAAAGTGTTTTTGCTGCACATCTAATTCAAAAGTGAATGACTTTTCGTTTGCTAAAAAAACCCAGCATTTTTTTTTCAGGGTGAAACTGGAAAATAGTGCGGACAGAGCAACATTACAATGAAGGCTGGGTTGTATTTTTGAATACAAACCTGAGCATTCTGCAGGCACGCAACTCCTCAAGACATCCTCGTTGGGTTCAGGGGTCAGTGTGAAGTCTGGGTTGGGGTTATCTCCCTTCCGCATCTTGAGGCAGATGTACTTGACGTCTTCGCAGGTCAGGCCCGTCATGTCAAAGTTGAAGTCGACGTTGCCGTAGTCCAGGCGGGTGCTCTCTGCCGGCAGGAAATCCTTGCTGGTCTGCTGCTGGTTGAAGACTTGCGTCTGCTCACCCAGCATCTTGCCCGAGCCGTCGGCGTTGGGACTTCCGTAGGCGCTCAGCGCCCACATGCCGTCGCCCACAATGCCCGTGCCGCCACCGGTAGCGGAGTAAGCGATAGAGTATGGGTTGCTGGCTCTGCCGTCTGCTACCTTGCCACTGTTGAGTCGGGCACTGGTACTGGTGATGGTGGTTCCTACATTTAGGAATCAACCAAATAATCATTATACAACTTGAAATCATCTGTCGCCAATTATAACTACATGTATTATGTTCAACAGTCTTTTTTTCTTTTGGACGAAATATGCAGTTTCAAGTTATCATTAAGGAGCAAAATTTCAAAAAAGGTACATACAAATGACAGACACATACATTGAGATGCACAAAATATACAAACACAACTTGCGTACACTCTCTAACCATTGCTATCATGACATCTTGACATTGATTTGTTCCACCATAGATTTAGCACGAATGATACCATAATTAAGAGAGACAACAAACTCAAGACAATAATATTGACATGTTCTCAAGTGTTTTATTGGGTTTGTTTCACAAATACTTTATTGGTATAAAAGCAAAGAGCATGCCGAAACAGACGGTTTCATAAACAGAAAAGAGTAGCAGCTGTTTCATTGATGAGCTCCGGGCTAAGGGAGGAGTAAAAAAAAAAGTTTTAAGACCTGCATTTGTAATCATATGTTCACAAATGAAGGTCAAATTGTTATAATAGACTCTGCCCAGAATATATCAGTCCAACAAATAAAACATTTACAATGATAGAGTACTTTAATGATCATTCCATGTTTCTAGTTGTTTATACAATAATAAAATAGTTTTTTTCAAGTGTACGATCAGCAAAATCGAAAAGCTAGCTTGATCCATAAATTTTGCAAGGAACTGGAGCCAATTTCAAGGCGCTGCTAAGCACAAAAATGTGCTTAGCACAAAATAAGTCTGGCTTATGAAAGCAGGTTACCAGCCAAAACTCCATGTGATGTATATTGCTCGTGATTGGTATTCAGCTGTTGTTTGCTTAGCATGAAAATCACATGGGGTTTTGGCTGGTAACCTGCTTTTATAAGCCAGACTTTTTTGTGCTAAGCTCATTTTTGTGCTTAAGCAGCGCCGTGAAATTGGGCCCTGTTGTTTGACCAAATCTGGAATTAAAACTATGTGATGTAGTACAGCAGCATGAAATCCAGAAATTCTTTAATAGCTGAAACATGTTGTTGTTTCTAATGGTATCGGTAGTTGAAATACCATAAATTGAAACAAAGCTCCATTAATTCATGAAGATATCCGTGTACAAAAACTTGGCCAAAAAAGGGCAAAATAACATACAGTCAGAGGCAACTCCATTAGTCAATTTCCGATATTTGTGAGGTTGGTTTAATGGCTAAATAGATGCAACAGATGTAGCACATTGTGCTTCAATATTTGGAGTGACAGTTGTCCAGAATTTGTGTTGGTTCTGTCCAATGCAGGAAAGTTTTAAGTGCTTATGGTAGAGCCTACACGATGGCCCCATCAGAGATAATACTGTCCGCTATCCGTCAACATCTCTCCAACAACAATTCAATAAACTATTTTTTTCCCTGTGCCTGCCATTTCTGTATTTTTTTATAAGGGATGAATATGGTCTGCTTATTGGGTTTCGCCAACATCTGCAAAAATCACACACTTTTTAAGGACCCAAACAACTGATCAAATTCTGAAGATTAAGAAAACAAAGGAATACACCAGAGATATCCTATACAGCAGGACCATCATTATAGCTTCGATTTGCGGTAACACCATGTGGTTGTGTCTACTTTCGCTCAGTAGATAAGAACTACATCTACTTAGCGAAAGTAGACACAACCACATGGTGTTACCACAAACAGAAGCTATATGGATACTCTATCAGGCAAAGCCTAAAATCTTATGATCATCGTTAACAAGAAAAAGAACTGCCCTTCCGAGAAACAAACACAATTATTCATTTGATGTCGAAAGAAACAGAACCAACCTGCTTTGCATTGCTGCTCGTTGCAAAGTGTCATGGTGTCGCCGGAGGGCAGAGCACTAAACGTATAATCTGGGTTGGGATTGGGCCCCTTGGAGAAGTCATAGCAGAGATAGTTGAAACCGTTACAGCCCACCGCGAGCCAATCAAATTGAGCCTTGGCACCGTTGTAGGTGAGCGTACGTGGTCCGCCGGGGGTCAGGGGTTGGGCCTGGTGAGAGGCGCTCAGCGTCTGGCTCTGGTAGTCAAATTTCTCACCCGAGCCGTCGTCGCTCTTGCTGCCGAAGATGCCCAGACGCCACAGTCCCGATCCAGAGATGTCGCGACTACGGTCGGTGAACGTTGCCGTTGCGTCGATGGTGACGTCCGACTTGCGGCCAACGACCAAATCATTGGTTCTACCGTTAGCTCTTAGGCCACGGACGGTCACCCCTGCAATTATTAGGTGAGAAATTGATCAGCATGTGCACTAAATGTATTTGGACAAAATTAGCGATATACTACCATGCTTAAAAATCATAACTTTTTAACAAAGCTAGGTTATTTAGGTTGATTCTGTATTTAGCCACCAATAAAAGGAAAAGTGCAGGTTTTTACAAAAAAATAAAACGGCCAGTATTCAAAATATACTTGTTAATTGTTTTCCTTTTTAACACTGAAAAAAAATAGAGCACTCAAATCTTTTTTTCAGCCACGTTTTGATTTACCATTAATATTTTCAAAATGAAACAGATCGAACAAATGCGCATCATCATCACGTGCCACTAAGAGGTTCAGAATTGAAGGATGAACTACATGAACCTGCCCGAGTAGTGCTCCAATTTAACGTTAGTAAAATGAAAAAAAAAAAAAACATGTTAAATGATAATTGTTCCGTGAATGGTTCCGACAACTGTATGAATGGATTGACAATTTAATGAATGTGAAGATGATATCAATGAAAGATGGAAACAATGAAAATGAAAGAAACAAGCCCAGCTACCAAGGGATGCAAATTGTGTGCATTTGATTGATAAAATAAACCACAGTTAAAAGCTAAGATTAAGCTTAATGTATAGGCCTAGATAAATAATAAATGCTTTCTATTCCCCCCACCAACCCCTACACCAATACTACACTTTTTTAACTCCCTAGATGTCAAACTCACCAGTCAAAAATGATGCTGGTCATATGACTTGGAAGCAAAGCTGCTTCTGTCAATTCACAGGACTGGCATAAGCTCGCAAATCCAGCTAATGCAGAGCGAATTGAAATAGGCAAATTGTCTATTTTCTATGAGATCAATCCTCAGCAAGAAAGACTGTAGACAGAATTCTCAGAAAAACTTCAAAGTGTTCCCCTCCTCTAATATGTTCCCTTGAAGAGAGTAAATGTATCGTATAGGAGGGCAGGGCCTGCTATGGCATATTTCACCAATGAACTATCATTCAATTCATATAGAATATTGACCAAGAATTTGTGAATTCAAGTAATGATTTGTTGATGACCTGAAACAGCATACTACCAAGGTTTGAGGTATTCCCTCTTTAAATTTTGACAAGCAATACATCGTTTTCCCTCGGATCAGAAATCATGTGGAATGTGACAATGATAAAATGGTAGTTATATAAAATGAACTGAGATTGGTGATAAAATGTCGCTTTGTACACATGATACATGAATTATGGAAGATGGTGAGAAGAACAGATACACGCATGTACAGTACATCAATGAAACGTACCTGCACATATATGAAAATGAAAAAAAAAATTGACAGTGAAAAGTGAAAATGGAAGAAAAACAATTCATTTTCGTTCCCCTTCTTTTTAACCCTAAAACACCCCCCACCAAAAAAAGGTGAATTATGTACATGTGTTTTATGAATAAGGTGATGGTGATTAAATGGTACGAAGATGCATATTGAATCTACAACTGGGTGAACAAAACTGACATGGAGCGAGATGAAACCAATCAACGGTGATATTTTCAAACCAAATACATTACTGACACCATATGCACAAAATGGAGATGCATCACAATGCAGATGGTGTTATTTCGGGGAGTTTTTAAAGGCAGAGTATATCATGTCATTTGTACAATTTTTTGTTTGAAGCAACATAAGTGCTCAAATCTAAAGAAGCGTGCTTAACAACTAACCTGATGAAGTTTAAGCTCAGTTAATGCTGTATATGCCGAGAAAACAATATTCTAGGATCTTAAATTTTAGTCAGGTTTTGAATTGCTCCTGAAATCAGCATCTGGGACACGTTCTCATTCAGCTGCTTGCAGCTACACAATGTCACGCACTGAACCGACAAACAATAGCAACCGCGTGCGCGTGTCCAAGCTTGTGTGGCCCATTCATGCCTTCGCCAAATTAAAAACAACTTACTAAATGGAAATTTCCAAAAGTGTGTCTTTAGACACATCAAATGACCTTTTTTATTGTTTTCTTTGAAAGGAGAGCATGCCAGAAGGAATTTCACAGGGAGTTTAGTGCCATTACTATCTTGAAACCAAGTTTGCTCTTCAACAATATTTATGTCAGTTACTTTTTGGATAGCTGCAAATGACTAAATATACAGATGTACCATTGATTTCTGAGTAAGTGACTCAAATCAACTCATCATTTTTACATTTTCTGTGGCTAAATTTTTGTGGTGGATTTAACAGAATTACAATGGTTGAGAACAAAACCAAAAAAACGTGAATTTAATCTTGAAAACAACAAATTCAAAGAATGAGGTTGAAGCCATGTTGAGTTTTAACAAAAGCAGCCTACAAAGAATAAGATGTGGGATATATTGTGGTAACAGAAGAGCAGCTCTGAAAGTCAGAAAGAAAATTGTTGTAGGACTTTTCAGGATCTATTCCTTTTATTAAGATCAGTTCGTGACAAACAACAGCTTCTGACAACATGCAAAAAGACACACATAAACACACACACACACACAGTTGACAAGACATTTATCGCAGGAATAATGGAGAAAAAGAAGAAGGCGGTTTTCTTGTTTTACCTTGACAATCAACTTCAGTGCAGCCAGTCAACACTTCCTCCGTGGGCCTGGCCTCAAACGCAAACGGCAAGAAGTCCTTCTCTAGCATGGGATTGGGCCCCTTGTTGAATTTGGCACACAGATACTTGGCATCCCCACAGGTATGACCAGTCAAATCAAACTGGTACCTGATGTCATTGATGTAAAAATTGGATGAGCCACCAGTCTTTTGCAGGTCCTGGGACTGCTGTCCCTCGGTCAGCGCCTCTTCTACCACCGTGCCGGAGAGTTCGTTGGACCCGTCTTCGTTGCTACTCATCCACAGACGAGTTGTCCACAAGCCCTGGCCTTTAACACTTGTGGTTTCTCTGGTGTTGGCATACAGCACATCCAAGTTGACGGTGAGCTCGTTATCAGCCTGTCCCTCCTTGATGCTATCACCGCGAGCGTTTGGAGTTACGTCATTCACGGTCATATCTTATTGAAAGCAGGGACAAAAAAAATTAAACAAGGAATTTTCGCTTCATGGTTTTGAATCGTGGTCAAGTGCGGTTCTCGATTAGAACCCTTTGTCATGAAGGGTGGGATACTGGTTAAAAAATACCAACTATTTGGATAGCGTCCAATTCATGAGGTCCTGATTATGGAATTAGAGTAAGTGGTCTGATTATTTTTAAAAGCTAAGAATGGTTTAGAAGTACTGAAAAATGAATCTGGAATTAACATGAAAAAAAAACCCCAACTTTTTAAATAATGGGCACGCGACTGGGAATTTAGATAAAATGAGGAAATTCCAAACCACACAAGACTTTGTACAGTGTTTTTCAATTTGTAATGGCATTCATGAGGAGTAAAAAACGAGGAAATCAGCAGATCCGAGGAAAATTTGCACGCCTGATTAATGTTCTTATTCCACTTTGTGGTAGGAGCAAACATATCCTAACCTCACAATAAATAGCCCAAATTGACTTTCAGTCGTTCATCAACCTTTTTTTTTAAAGGTAGCGAGAACGCAACAGGTGAAAACATAAACATGATAAAGAATTATCTAACTTGAAACTGTTCCTACAGTCTCTACAAAGATTTTTTGCTGTAACACTGCTAACTCAGTTCCACTCAGTCACTGAAAATGGTCAAAAGGGAATCCTAGCTTTAGAAAATGTCTTTAGCAATATTTTGTGGCAATTTACATCAATTTTTAAATGATCAAAGGGGTGCAAAATTGATAAAACCAAAATGAAATGCATGACAATTTGGGCCCATTTAATAAAAAATACTCACTGTATGGGCAAAGCCGACAGCATTCTCCAGGAAATGACAGGGGCTCTCGACATGTTGGTGGTTGGCATGACTCGAAGGTACACTTGAGAGTGCCATTGTTACATGTACATTCCGAACAATCGGTCATTTTAAACGTATCTCCATGAGGATAGATATTTCCAGAGTTGTCTTTGCAGGGTAGCTTTTGCGGATACGGTGAAGGCTCTGACTCTATCGAAGTAGCGAGACAAAACAGATACAAAGGATTATTCAATATTGTAAACTACATATTAAAAAAGGTCGTTTTGCAAAAATGGGAAAGAACGTAGTATCCAGACGCCACTTCAGCGGTTGTGTACAAAGTCTATGGAGAGTCAACACAATTTTCTAAGTTTTTCCTAACAAAATTGGAAATGTTTCTAAGTCCCAGATTCATGTCTTTCAAGATGTTTGCAACGACTGGCCTTTATTGAGATGATAAATGAAGAAAAAAAGTGACGTCAGGTTGCAACATTCTTTCCCAAATATGCACTTGACAAAACTTTCTATTTCTTATTCCTAATTTCAATTTATGTGCAGCTATTCGCCTTTTGCGGACGTGTCAGAAACCATATTTTGTGTGCATCTGTGCTGTGTGTAGTGTGAGACACACAACATGTGTGCACACACGTTGTCGCTATGACCTTTCACCGGGCGCTAACTATTATGCAAGTTTCTGCGCAACGATCGACCAATAAGAATGGACTATTGGACCAAGGCGTTAGTCTGGATCCAGATGATTTGCATATAAATAGTGGCCACATGAGGTCGCTGTTCGCGCTGTATCTTTACATGCACTGCTGCAACATAGCGATCAGCAGTCGGCGTGGCGAGGATATGCCGCTGAATACTTTACGGACGACTACTTTACGGACGGATAATGACGAACGCCTTGACCAAGGCTAATATCAACTTTGATCAATTTGATACTAGAATCAACTATTGTTCATTTTTACCCCTGTCAACAGTTCCTTTTTACTATTTTTTTAACTTTTAACTTTCAAAGCACTGACAGACCAGACAGACAGGATGGTATATTTTCAAGCACTGAATGATCATGAATAGCTGAAATACATTTCCAAATAAACAAGGGTCCCTTTGTCTACAGCAGTAGTCCGCAATTTCATGACTACGAACTTTAAATATTTGAAAGACAGAAATAACTTTCAAGAGCGTATTTTTTAACCATTTCCTGTCACAACTTTTGACTCATTATCTGTACGGTGCTGACATCACTGATAAAATTATTTACACAATAAACAAGTACAAAAAATCCAGTCATATTTCCAGTTCCAAACAAAATTTCAATTTTTCATTTCAGAGAAAAAACAAAATGGTTCAACTTACCTTAAACTTGAGTCCATCAGGTTTGCATGATAAAAATTACAACAATGTGAGTATTTAAACAGTTGTCTTCAATTAACAAAGTTTATAATCAATAGTACAATTTACTCATATATTTTTGGAATGAAACAACAGATTACATTTGCTTCGATGTATAATTCCAGACTATCAGATCTTAAAATACAATAACTTGATACTACAGGTGGCGAATACTCTATGCCAGCGTTGGAGTGGAGCACATTTTGTTTACAATTTGGACAAGATAACACGTCTTATTTTTGTCATTAGATTCTATTTAGTAAGAAAGCTTCATTCCAAAATCTGCATTGAGTTGGAGATCATTACATCTAAAATAAATGGTATTATTTGACACTACATACACATTGGGTATTCACAGTAGAAGTGGGTTTTCCAATAATTCTGGGTCATTCTATAAATTTAGGGTCAAAAGTGTGACATTTTTTCCTGTCCCTGTTATTTTGGTACTGTACTTTGTAATTTGCCATTCAAGTATCATTAACTTTTAATGATCTTTTTTATTTGTTTGGTCGGTCGTTTGCTATTCATCATCACTCTTTTGAGGACGACTACATTAATTAAGTGCATCAGAATTATAAAATCATAGATGTCAGATGTAACAGGGACAGGGGGAAAAAGGTGACCCAAAGTTAGAGAATGACGCTGCTGCCGGTACATGTAGGCTAGAACCTTGTTGGCTAGTGAGTAATATTAAGATGGTTTACACTTTTGTTCTTGTTAAATCCTGTTGGATTCAGGTAGGTGCTTAGGGATCTGAATGTTAAGATCTTTCTTTGACCTTAATTGTCCATAAAAAAATTAAAAAAGCTCAGCTCATTCTCCTTTTGAAAATGATTTGTGGAGAAATCTCAAAGCAAAGACACTGACATGCACTGAATTCTAACTTCACTGACATCAATTTTTTGTTTGAAGAGAAATTTGTTCATCACTGATTTTGTGGGGTAAATTTTACGTGCAGTTTTTAAGCACGGCTCACAAAAATTACATTAACAGTCGTAATGATTCTCATGACAATTTTCATTCTTATTTTGTGTTTTTCCTTTGTCTTTTTTTTTAACTTATCTTTTTTCGTCTCCACAGATCAATTCCAATTTCCAAGTGTGCACAAACATAATTTTTCAAAAAATGCATACAGTTTTATATTTACTCGTAATTATCTACACTAGTGTGACCACATTCTGCAAGATGCAACACTGAAATTCCAAAGCAAGTGCCTCAGTCAGAACTTGAATTTTTCTTTTTCAATTTCTGATCAAATTCTCCATCAAAGCAAAACAGAAACTTTCAACAACAATCAAAGTCCGGATGGTGAGGAATAACAAGATCTAATCAGACAAAAAGTATGAAAAAAAAAGAAGAAAGGTTTAAAAACCACAAATTCTGTCAACAATGTTCAAATTTTAAGATTGAGAATGAAATGCCATATAAATGTATACTTTAGAAGCATTTGTGAATAGTTAGTAAATAGTTACTTGCATGAAAGTTTCACACACACAAAATTTTTTGAAAGTTTTTAAGTGACGGAAAGTTATTATTGTTAAGAGCGCAATATGAAAACATTGGTATTTTCATAACCAGTTAGTGAATATATATAGATAATTAGATATTATTCATAAATCATGTGTGTTGTATGTCTTTTGATTATTAAATTTTAATAACATGCATTGTTTTGTCAATATAAAACACAAGGGAAGTATCTTCAGAATGTACTGGGACAGTGCTCCCACCCCCCCCCCCCGAATTTTTTTTTTATTAAACTTTAAATTGTAAAACAAATATGAGTCAAAAGTAATGGAATCATTCTTGCATGCGTAGTACAAAACACAAACACATGTAACAATAACACAAACATATATTGTAATTCCAAAGACAGCTAACAAAACAAACACACGCAAACAGCCAACAACCTAATCAACAATTAATGACAAAGCAAACAAACAATCAATCAAACAAACAAACACATTTACAACGAACAGTCAAATAGAGGCATGGAAAAATAATTAGACTTCATGCAAATCTGAAAATTAATTGATCGTAGATTATTTTAAACATATTTTTTTAATTTCATAATTTGAGAAATTTTGTTTCAATGAAGGATATGGACTTTGACTAAATTTTGTACTTCCCACACAGAAATTATTTTGTTGTTAAAGTGTCTTAACCCCAGGAATGCTTGGTAATGTGGCATGTGTTGCAATTGACTGGTGAGACTTATAAGTTATATCAGATTGAGGAGCACAGCATCAAAAGACTTCCTTAAATTAAAAACAAAAAAAAATTGTAATAAAAAAAATAGTGAACTGCAGAATCCAGTCTCCGACCAAAAAGCAGTTGTTTTCATTCAAAATTCTGCTCAAAATTTAATCTGCTGTAGACTTGTAGAGACAATGAGCCAGTAAAATGACCTTATAATGACCATCTAATCCAGGCAATTGATTAAAAACAATATACTGGGGAAACATGCAAATTTGCATCATTCAAGCGAAGAATGCTATAAACATGCAAAAGCTCAAAAGAAAGAAAAAGTCACATGCAAAGAAGATTTGAATCTGAATGAGAGAATCACCCATGCATGAATGGTACAGCCTTATATCAACCCTTTACTATGCAGAGTGTATTCAAGAAATCACTCATTTAAAAAAAAAAGTAAACAAAGAGTAATTAAAAATACATGTTCGTAATATGATACCTAAAAATATCACAGCATACACGCCGCAGGTTTTAACTAAATCTAGCCTTAGTAGCCTGGCTTTCTTTAAAGGTTTTTTTTTCACAAATGTTTCTCCTGCTTATGATCGAAACAAGAGCTTACTGGCTGCAAATAATTGATTTCACACATTTCTTTTTAAACATTTATTTCTGCGTCTCATAAATTTTGAAATAGCTTTAAAAGGGTTGAAAGACAAGTACAAGCTAACTTGTATGTCTAGTCTCATGCATGCTCATGCAGAATCATTCCAGTCCACAACGTGTTTGGAAATTCCAGACTGAAGTGTACAGACTGGAAAATTTAGGAGCATCAACTGATCAGAGAATAGACAGAAGACAGCCCTTCATACAAACTGACAGTATAAAGTTGCAGAGTAGTCATTGGAGGTGAAAATGAAAGAGTACGAGAGCCAGAAAAAAACAGCAATGATACGATCCAGACTGAAAACAGGAGAACAGATTTAGAGAGAAACAATGGCATTCATTCTCAATCTCAATGATCCCAAAAAGTCACTGTTTTGTGATGGAATTGGGACAAAATCTTATTCAAAAAAAAAAAAAGGAGAAAAAGAAATATTTGCTTTCTTTCTTTTGTCAAGAGACATGCACATTTAGCTCTGCATTAACAAACTCAACAGTATGGCAAACTTAAAAATAGAAGTGGAACGAACAACCATTTAACTCAAGATGTATAACCTAGAAAAGCATAAACATAAAATTGATGCAAAATCAATCAACTGAAATGTAAAGCTTCATTATTATGATTTCAAGCTGTCCATGGTTTCTAACTTGTGTTTTTACAACATTAAATATACTTAAAACTGACGTACCTAAAGTATTATCAAAAACATTAACTAAATAGTATTAAAAAGCATGTTCTATCAGTCATGAAGATCTTTTCTTTCAAAACTCATACTCGCAGGGAACATTTACATTATTCTAATTAAACCAAAAATGAGAAGGCAGTTTGAACCATTTTATTCCTCCATGTTTGAACTCAGTGGAAAGTTTGCTACAGTTCAGAAGCAATAAGACTCATAACTTGCAGTTGCTGCTGTCACAGCTAGCTCAGCCACCGCTGGCACTGGCCTTACATTCCTTTCTGTGATTGGCCAATGGGTTGTGGACTCCTGCTGAGCTCCGCCTCTCACTGAACTCTGGCGCCAGTCAATCAGGAAGCAAAACCACCAGGGTCAACTTAGGCCCCGCCCCCTCCGAAACCACTACCAAGTCACTACTTCTGTCGACGCGGTGAAGGTCGGGTAGATCACTGTATGCATCATAGCATGTTTGGGTCACAGAATGCATACTGACTTCCCACTGAAATTGTCTGATTGCATTTTTAAATTTGTCTGGACAACTTGGTATGCTAGTACATATTTAAGAGATTTTCATTTTGGTCTTTACTTAGTTTTCAAGAATTTTAAAAAATACATCTCTAAGACAGCTAGGCAAGTTTAGAGTGTCCCTTTGGTTTTCTATATTTCACTGTAGTTTTAACAGTTCTGCAACTCTTACTTATGCATTTCAAATGGACATATCATTGATCAAAGAGACCCAAATTTGCAAAATTACAGACATTTCTGGCCTTTTCTGTTTAAATGCAAGTGTAGCAAAAAATTTCCCCTCCCATGGCCCACAGCTTGGCAGCCATCCCTAGAGTCCCCGAGGTCAGACAATCTATCATTTTGTGCAAGGCTAGCAATATGATTATCAAAATCTGCAGGAGTCAGCCATTTTTTTCAATCGCTCCCTTAAGTTATCCCCAAGCAGCTGGCTCTGACCTCAGACTGAGGGTCAAAAGTCAGGGAATCTGGAACTGCTTAGGAATGAAAAGTGCAAGCTGGCACTTTTGTTGACACCAGAGGGGTGTTTCCATAAAAATGGCATCCAAAAAAAAAGCAACTGTTATTATTAAGTTTCATACATTAAATGGCTTAGTTTGTGTTACAATAATTACTTACAAAGTATTAAATAAACTTTGAGTTTGAGAGGTCGTGGAAGTGTTAGCAATTGGTTCACAAATACTTTGATTCACTGTATTTTCAGATCATGTAATTTGTCAGAACGTAAGATTTTGAAGAAAACTTTAATATTAAGGCAAATAAATTTAATATACATTTTTATATGATTATTTGAAGCAGAGCAAATTCATTTTTTTTTCTGACTGGCACCTAAATCTACAGGACTGTAGTTTAAACTTTCAAAGGGGCATTTGCACTTGGTCACAAAAGCCTATGTTTTGCTCAGCTTTATGCTCAAAATTACAAACAGAATTTGTACATCCTTTTTTTCCCATTCTTGTGAATATAAAAGTTAATAATATCATATTTTTGGTGTTTCCAGTCAATAGTAATTTTTCCCACAACAATTTTCTGTGTGTTGTTTTTTATCCAAATCTTGGACTTGAAAAGAGTGATTCTTACTGATTAAATTATAAACACTCTATATTTCACATGATTAAAATACATCATGTCCATACATACATGTACAAAGTACCAGCTAACAATATGTACACTGTCTTTGGTACACAGCATGGCAAATCTTGTTTTTATTCCACTTTAAATTTTACTGATTCTGAAAATGTTTTGATTTCCCCCCCTCCAAAAAAATATCTTAACTTTTGTTTTTCTTATTTAAAAATAAGTTTCAACTTTTAACAATTCAGAATTCCAGTTTTGAAACCATGGACAGCATGAACTACAAATAAATTAATGGTTATATTTTTTTAAGCAAATGTAACCTGCCAGTTATTTTTGTAATTGATCACCTTCAATAATAAAAACTACAAAAAAGTATTTTTTATCTAGTATACAACCAGCCCCCCCCCAAACAAAAGAAGCTCAATGTTAATTAATAACATTTTTTCGACAACTAATTTCTATAAAAAAAGTGACTTTTTAAATAATTTTCCTGTAGTTTTAGTGATGGCAGGCGACATGTGTTAAAAACAAAACAAAACATACTTCATCGAAGTCTAGAAAATAATAAATGAGGTATTACTACATAAACTAAAAAAATAAATCTAATTTCACGCAATGGTATAAGACTAACATTGCAGCACATTCTTACGATTAAAAGAAAGAGTTGCATGTTATACACACACTGGTAACTAAAATGAAACGCTACCTACTTCAGGTACTTTATCTTATTCGTAGCAACTAAAATGTACAAGCCAATTTTAGAAAGAGAGCGTGTTGTACACACAAGTGAACTTAAAAGACCATCATGCATGAGGGAAACTCAGTCAAATTTAAACGAAATAAGCAGCAGAAGAAGAAGAGAGAAAAAAAGAAGACTTTTCAGGGCAATTTTTTTTTTTAATTTCATGCAAAATGATTAATCTTTTGACAAAAGAAGAAGTGTCAACTTACCCGCCGCGGAGGAAACTGAGCTTGAGGAGGAGCTATCTTGGGCCTGAATTGTAACGAAGAGTAGGGCAGCGAGGATTAGGAGGAGTCCCCACCGTTGGTGGACAGCTCGGCCCACAAAGCTATACATGGCTGTACAATCTCTGTGCGCCAAGAATCATTCACAAATCTCAGCTAGCTGCTGCCAAAAACTTTTCAGCAGGTCCAAGCTCGTGTAGTGTTGTCCGCGGCTCCTGGTTTTATCTGGCTATTATGGGATGGATCCACTCCACATGTCCCAGACCTTCAGCCAATAGGAAGGAAGCTGTTTTTTTTTTTTTTTTTTTTTTTTCCTCTCTGGCATTGTGCTGACGAGAGGCACCATGACGTTGGCAGTGTGTTGGTACTGGTGATGCCTGATGGTGTGTGTGGGAGGGCATGGCAGCAGTACATACTGCAAGGTTACACCACTGGCCCTGTGCATGCTGCCTGCTGTGGGTTTGCCTGTGTGGATAAAATAAAAAAGCCTTTCATCAGTTTCACCATGTCTGATTATTTGTCCCAAAACTCTGCATGAGCTGGGAATCTTTACTACTGTTGATTTTGTTCACTCTTTTTGGTAGCTTAAACTATTGTTTTAAACCAACCCTTAGAGGGGCACTAGGTCCTGAAATCCCTGAAAATTTCATGTTTTGGATTGTTTACTTATAATCCTATTTCAAACATGTGGTTGAAAGGAAACCAACCTACTGTCTTACCGTTCCCGAGAAAAGACAGAAAAAAAACCTTGTTGTTTACATCGGACACGACATACAGTGTATACGATATACATGTTGTGTGTCTCGGGAAGACCGGTGACCAATCACCAATGCAAAAAAATGTGGTTTCTTCAACGTCCGCAAAAGGCGAACACTTTATACGTATGAATGAAATCACAACTACCAGTAGCATCCAAACGGCTCAAATTTATGGGGTTGCAAAAGTGGACCCCGAAATTCGTTCTCGCACGCATAATACAGGAATAACACAAAAACGCCCATTTTTAAAGGATAGTTGTGTGGATGGTTCTATCCTTGTTTTAAATGTTTTTTCCGATTAACATAATCTCGTTCAAAGCGCGTTTTGTAGCCCAATTGGGCTGTTCCAGGACCTAGAGTCCCTTTAATTTTTCACACAAATGTGACAGAGATATGAAACTTAGTGTGCAAATAAAATCTACTTTTTTGAACATATAAAAAAATACTACCTTAAAAAGGAGTGTTTCATTTTAGAAAAAAATACATCAATTGGGGGTTCGATTTTTCTCTGTCTCATTTTAACCATCTTAATATGCTGCCAAAGAAAAAAAAGTTCCACATGTTTTAATTTGCCACTTTTTTATGAAACTCATGCTTTCATTCTACTGGTATGTAGGCCTACTAATAAAGTAAGAGTGAAAACGTTGTCTATATATATCAGAAACACATATGGCAACTTCACATAACATGTAAAATTTGTAAACTTAAAACTGAATATGTTATGGTTCTTCATTTTTTACCTCTTTTGAGAATTGGGACCTAAATAAGTACATTTCTTGATTCCTCGATTTTGCAAGAAGTTTATTTTGAAAAAAAATCAAAGTTGTTCATGTCAATTAGCGTTTGAGTTTTTGAACTTTGACAAATTGGTCTATAATCCATGCAGTCCAGACCTCAATCCATCATGTGTTACCTACTATTTTCTCTTTTTTTTTGGGGGGGGGGGGAGGGGTGGGGGAGGGGTGGGGTGGGGGTAGATCAGTTCCTCACACCTGCAGGTAAAACAAAACCATATCAGAACGCATTGTAAATGCTTCTAATTTCAATAATGAAAATGTTTAGGTGCATGTAATTCTTAGCTTGGTTGACGGAAAGTTTTTACTTTATTGATCTCAATACATCTCTTCTTTTTTTTAAGAGAGTCGCCCATCACTGTTCGCCCCACAAGGTAAGGGCTACACAAAGAAGGGATAGAAAAGGAAACGAAAAATCACTTCATGTGGAAAGTACATTACACTTGAACTGGGACAGACTATAATCAACTGGAAACTTAAACAAGGCCTTGACAAGAAGGAACATGGACTCACTGCAAAGGCCAAATGCCTTCATTTTAGCGTATCGTACTTGACATCTCTTTCAAGACTTTCATCCAGTAGGATATGGATTGGTCACAATTTGGCATAGCATTAAATTCAGTGGTGGTAAAGGGGAAGGGTCAAGCGGTCTGAACCCAACTTGGGCCACCAACAAAAAATAATAATAATAATAATCATGTATAAAAAGCTGATAGATAAAAATTATCCGAAGCTGGAACAATTTTCATATTTATCCTGCTAGCCTTTCAAACGGGCGAAGTTACATTGAGGGCTCACTTTTTGTAGCTTGATAATTTTACACGATCAGAAGTACTACATGGGCTGATTGCAACAGATGAAATGCAACAAAAATGCAGCGATCTTGTTTACTTTATAATTGAAAAAAAAAAATGGTCAAACAAAACAAATTGCATTAATGAATATAGTTTAAGATTAACTAACATTGGACTTGGTCAATTTAGGTAAATGGACCATTTGTTATTGTTAACCGAAACTAGTGTGAACACAAAAAAAAACACTGCATCATCATGTTATAGAAAGCACATGATCAGCACAAGGAAAAAAAAAGGTCTATTCCATATTGACCTATTCAGATATTGCATCAGACCAAAGTAAAAAATGTCAAATTTGAGGCGTTCTGTTTAAAATTTCCAAGACACAAATAGTCTGAAAGCATTACAAAGGAAAACCATATCAGATTGGCTGACTTCAGCAATTCCATGCAGTGATGGCTGACATGTGGTGGGGTGCCACAGGGCCAGAATTGGCCCACAGACAGGGGGGGGGGGGGGGGGGGGGGCTGAGGCAACCAAGGGCACGACCCAGGATTTTTTGGCAAGGTGGCACAAAACCACAGTTAATGACAAAGCCACTCATAAAATTTGTCTAGGCGTAGAAAAAATCCCAGACTCAACTCTTAGCAGAAGTCAAGGACATTACATCTGAGTGGAAGAAGGGCTTTTTTCCCACAGCCACTGGGCCCGTGAAAGATGAGGTGTAAAATGATTCTTTACATTAAATGATAATTTTGCCTAGCTCTTATGCTTCTTAAGGCAAACGTTATCCAACAAAGCTTAAAAAGCTTTCAAACTTTTTCAGTTTTTACAGGGCATAGACAAAAGCTGCCATGTTGATAGTAGAAGTTCACGAACAAAATGCACAAATTACAAATGATGGACTATATCTTTAATGTTTCATGGCCCTCCCTCCACAACCTAGCATCCTGAGGTCCTTTTATAAATTCAAAGATGCAGGCTGTGAGGGGACATTATAGTATGATTTTTTTGAGGTAACAACATCATTTCCACACTTGACAAACAATGTACATAAATAAGTTAAAGGGAATGTACAATGTACATCATTGGCTTTTGCTGTAATTTTCGGAAATGAACTATTTGACGGGTTAGTATAATAGATCAAATGATGTTACACTGACATGTTTGAACATGTTGTAACCAATAGCAAACAAAATTTGGACTGAAAAAAAAAATTGTAAATTTGGAGCAGTTAAGTTGAAAAATAGTTAGGTTTTTCCAACGGTGGTCGGCTGACCACCGTTGGAAATGTTGACAAAATTACCATTTTCTTGAAAATGACTTCACACCAGGTGCCATAATTTTACAGGACGCTTTAGACTGTCATTTACCAACATCCTAGTAAGGTATTTCGTAAAAACTTGCTAGTTTTATTTTTCGATGTTTGCAAATGCTGTATATTCCCTTTAAGTAAAGTATGTCACAAGCCAACATGGCCCACCGGCATTTATCTCCAGTTTCAGCGGCATGAAAATAACTGAGAATATTTCTATCCCCCTATAGATATGATGCTATCACAGGTGACACTCCCAAAATAATGCCGGTGACAATTTTTACTCATGGGTGGAGACACTGGCATAGACAGGTGCCTCCCCCCCCCCAAAAAAAAACCCTTGATATTTGTCCCTTATCCAGGTAGTGTCTTTTTTTAGTATTTAATTAAACCAGAAGAGGAACATACAGATGACCAGTATTTTAATCGATTCTGTTTCCTAAAAGGGAATATACAACATTTGTAAACATAAAAAAACAAAACTACCAAATTATTATGAAATACCTAACTGGACTCTTAGCGAAGAGAGTCTACAGCATCCTGCAAAACCATGGCACCTGGTGTGCTGACATTTTCAAGAAAAGTTGTACTTTTGTATCAATTTCAAACACTGGTCAGCTGACCAGCATTGGAAAAAAACTGGCTTTATTCAAATACTGCCCCCAATTTACCATATTTAGTTAGTCTAAATTTTGTTTGCAATCAATTACACATGAACAGGTACAAGCCTTCCACACTGGTTCCCTGACCTACAATTCCCCGACGTCTATAAAATTGCTCCATTTCAATTTAAGTGGCATCAGGGAACCAGACTACGAGAACATGACTGTTTTTCCTGGTTTTTCCAGCATCTACGCAACACCAAACTTCAAACAAGTCGGTGTAATATTTGCTATAAAATACAAATCCCCCAAATCCATAAATTTCTAAAAATTACAACAAGAGCAACTGTTGTATTCCCTTTAATCCTACCCATTGACAAAATCTGAATAACTGACAAGAAAACAGAGCACCCTTAAGCATTGTGGGTCCGCCCTTGATGCCCCCTTCCCCCCCCCCCCCCAAAAAAAAAACCTGGGTGGAGAGAGGCAAGTGGGGGGGATGGGTCAAGTGGCTTGCCCAAGGACACATTATATGGCCAGCATGGATTGGAAACCCTGACACTCTGATCACCAGTCATAAACCCTAACCACTAGGCCACACTCCCCTTGACAAACAATGTACAGATTGCTAAAAAATTCACTGGGGCCAAACACTATGGTACTGCCTGACCCCCCTCACGATCACTTACATCCAGACTGATCTTGCGCCCACAAGAGGGCAGTGTTTGAACTAAACAGTCCAAAGGAATAATGTTTGTAGCTGATTTTGTTTTTGTCTGACTTGGCAAATTTATTACCAAATGTCAAGAAAGCATCATTGTGCTACTTAAGCAGTTCCAGTTACCAAAAAAAAAAGTGTTACAACTTTACACTTTAGTTTAAGTGTATTTCGCTCATACCTCCCCCCCCCCCCCAAACAGGGCACTGGGAAGGGCTGATGGGCTGATGAGCTTCACAGAATCTTGTGAAGGAAGT